TGACATTCTACGTTCATCGGATGGAAAAAAGATTTATATAAGGAAACAAGACCATTTTTCTCTCTTCCATCTCAGGTTCAGCAGCCCAAGCCAAGAATGTCACTACATCTTTTCCCATCTGCAGCAAAACAACACGGGGGAAAATGAGATTCCTAGTTCCCGAATTCATAGATGTTGCATTATGAAAAGATTTACTAAAGCCACTCCTCAAGCTAACATATTGTTAAGAGCTAATATACCTGAGATTCTGTAGCAGGGGTACCATCTTCATATTCAACAGCACCATCATTCAGCATTTTAGGCATGGCGATTGCTCCACCAGGAAAATAAGGATTATAGTGCAATCCCTCCCTAATCTACAAATTTATTGAGATAATCATGATTGAGAGTTGAAGCACAACATCGCAAGTTGGTGTAGAGACATTCATAAACTTGAAATAATAATAGGATTCAAACAGAAACAGATATTCTATTTAGCTTATTACTCCATGGTTATGTCCATATATACAAATGACTGATAACTGGATTAGTAGGTTCACTGAATCAGATCATTAGTAGTTCCATGAGCATATGAAGAAGCATTTTTCAAATCCCATCATGCTCCAGAATATGAAAAACAAAGTTTACTTATTAAATATTACCTGCTATAACATAGAAAAATACTGCTGTTTCTAAAACTGGCAAATATCAACATTTCCAGCAAAATAATTTGCCAATATGATCATGCAAAATTTAAAAAGATGAGCTGTTCATGAAGTGCTGTAAAGAAAAGAAATGCCAAAAGGGCAAGGGTTCTTGAACAGCAGCCCACCCTCACTATAAAAATGCATCATACATGATGCATATACACATTTATGTGTCAAAGGCTTGACATTATTCTTACATCCGAGAATTTTGCTTAACGCACGAAGTTACTTCAGCAAGAAAGAAAGAATTTTAAGCAATCTTCAGAATAGAATTTACCGAAACACCAGCAGGAGGGTCGTGATAACCAGTAAGAAGGGAAAATACATAGTTTTGACCATTGTGGCGGGCCTGAAAAGAAAAGAAAAGAAATATTTTACATACATACACGTCAAAATTCTAATGACATCACTAACAGAAAAATTGAAAATACTTTGGTAATAAGACTTAGATCTGGAGGATAAGCGCCTCCGTTAGCAAATCTAGAAGCGATCGCTGAGTTTACCAGGGCGTGTAAACATCTCGCCTTCATCATTAGGACCATCAACCACCTCAATCTCAGCTGCCATAGCCTTTACCTCTTCTTCTGTATAAGCAACACCAACTAAATCACGGTATGATACCAAAGACATAGAATGGCATGAAGCACAGACTTGTGTATAAACTTGATGACCCCGGCGAATCCTGCTCATCAAAAATTATTTTGAAGAATTGAGGCCAGCAGCGTACAACAGAAAAGGTTACTATAGAGTTCATGTGAAAGTTGCTCACAACTCAGTATACCAGTATAAAGAAGAAGGCACATCCTAACCTTCCCAAAAATATAAATACAAGAATTAAAATGTAGCAACTGCCTACTGCTGCCAAGTACATTATACAATTCCAAAGCGTAGAATGGGAATAAATCAAAACGGATTCAATATCTGTCTCATGAAATCATATATAGAACCATATTGAGAGTACATTGTCGTGAACTTGCTAAAAGGCATTGTTGGATAAAAAGAAGGAAAAATATAGCGTATGTTCAAAAAAGACTCACGAGGCATGATCATATGAACTGAGGATGCCCTTGTGAGGCCATGGATAGCTTGGAGATTCCAGGCCATGCTCGGCCTCATCACTAGCCGATGCAGTTGCTGCAAAACTCAAAAATCCTGAGACACCAGCTCCAATTAATGCAAGTGCTCTTAAGGAACTTCTGCCACTAGAGCCTACATTATCTTTATTTGTGATGATGGATGACAAAAGGGATGGGGTCTGCGGACAGAATAGAGCAACCATCAGCAAAAAGGCATAACTGACTATGAAACAAATTGTCAGACAGGGACAAATATAGCTTAAATATTACAAAGCCATCTTTCCTGATAAACCTTAGGACGTGGAGTAGAAATAAATTTACTGAATCAAAATAAAGCAGTGTTTAATAGCAACTCAACAACCATATAAAACATCAAGAGTCCATAAAGAACGATTACAATTGGCAAGTTAGCAACAACTTGGGTAACATAAACACATTGCTATATGCCATTCATTTGAAGAGAGTGTCATCTGCATTGTAGTAAAGGTACACAAAGAGAGAGAATGATTACAAATGGTAACGACATATTGACATAGGTAATAAGACAGAAGAAAATTCTTAAAATAATTGTGAAAAGAATAAGGATTTGCTTGAATTTTGTGTTTTGTAAATTGCAAGAAATTTTCCTCTCACCAATCACAAATTTTAACAATGAATAGAAATATCTATTTGTTTGTCCACTAAGAAAAATCCGGTTCCAACAGGAGAACTAGTTGTTCACAAATCATTGATGGTAAAATAAAGTTCATGGTGATACTTCTTGTAATTTTATGACCCCTAAAGACAGATTTGATGAATTCTTTCACAAATCAGTAGCAATACTACGACTTTACAGGAAACATAAAATTCTAGAAAACATAAAAGATGCAAAACACTGAGCTTCCCTCATCTGCAAGCAAACCAATCTATAATGCATCTTCTCCAACTATGAATAACAACTGAACACTGCTTTCCCCTTTCCAACCCCCAACTGTTATACTAAGAGTCCATTTTGGGTCACAGGCTACAGTGGCCAGAAAAGTCAATTTACTAAATTCCCAAAAAAAAAAAAACATAAAAGCAGCATAAAAAGAAAGGCAAAAGCTTACAGTGTGTTGGGACTGAAGTTTTCTACTTAATAACTTCTGAATAACACCTCCAGCCATCTCAGTCCACACTGTAAAATATTCATAAAAGAATATACAATTGGATTATAAATAAGCAACTAAATCATAGGTGATATTATCCAGATAATTCAAATTCATTAAAACATAGGTCCGAGTGTAGATTACACAATTATTGTTACAGTAGCTTTCACCCGTTTCACATAAGTCACATCAAAATCCCAATAAGGTGAGAACATAAATTTAAAACATGTTATGGAGATCACTCTCAAAATTTATACCCTTTGTATTCCTGGTGCCAAAAAAAAGGATAGTAGGATAGTTGTATGAGTGATAGACTGATAGTTCACAAACAGACTTCTAGCATAGTCATCCCTATAACTCCTAATAGCATTCCTGTTAGTTCATTTAGACAGCGTGATATGAAAACGTGCACACAGATAATCAATTCCATCAAACAAAACCTTCCAATGAATGCGATGACCACTAATTATTTGATTGCAATACTTGTTCTTTTTTCCTAACTTCAGAGGGAACAAAGCCCGCACCTTGAATTTAGTCTTGGACACAAGTTTGTCGATTTCTGGTGTTTCTTTTTACACATCTTGCAATAGATATAATATAAACAAACACGCAAGTGCAGGAACGGGAAAAAGTGGAGAACATAAGCACTAAATGCAGCATCCCCGGATAGACAATCTTATGAGAACATTCAAAAAGAAGAAACTTCGGGATGAGCCAAATGACGAAGCTCCAATCCCCCAAATCGAAAGGTGACCAGAAAAATGGAAGAGGCTCACTGATTTTGGTTCATGGCTCCCGAATATGCATGATCAATATAAAATCATCAAAATCGGAAAAGGAATTTAGAAGTAGTTCATGGATCCAAGGAGTTATGATATTCAAAGAGAGATAAAGAGCACTCACGAAACAGAGGCGCCAAGTCCGAATCCGAAGCTTGGTTCTGAGATCAATGAAGAGGAGGGTGAAAGCAGCAGCAAAGAGAACCCATAGATGCGGCAGGAGCGACAACGACTTTTCTTTTGACGATGAGACTGTCGTTGGGCCTCATGGGCCTAAACCCAATTTTTATGGGCACATGCTGGAATCCTCACCCGTGCTGGTTTTCATTTTTTTAAAAAAAATAAATAATTTTTTTATCCAAATAATTTTGGCTAGGTTAATTTTGGTCTCTCAACTTTGATTTGGTGCCACAAAGTTTCCATAATGTTGACTCTGCTAAATTTTATTCTCTGAATTTTGATTTGGTACAACTTAATTCTTATAGTTGTAATTATTTAGAATGTTGGTTATTATATTTTGAAAAATAAAATTATAAAAAATAGGGTTATTTCTTGAAACTTTAAGAACTAATGTTTTATATTTTATGGCTGAAACTGTAGAGGCTAACTTACATTGAGTTGATAGTAAGGGACTAAATTCTAACAAAGTCAAAACATAAAAACTAAGTCAGAGTTAAAGCTTAGACAGAATTACAACTGAATCACAGCTTCAAAAATCAAATAACTAAATTTATAATTAAAAATAACATAATTTTCGTTTGACCAAACAATTTTTTTTGTGCACTTGCATGAAATTTGAAGAATAAATTGTTTCACTAACAAATAATAGTATTGTTCATTACATATTTTATATTTTACAGACTTCGTCGTTCATGTTTTGTTAAATATTACTATGTTTAATAAATATTTATTATTAGATAATTTTTAATTTTCTTTTTACCAACGATAATTTTGTTTTGAAGATAAGAAAATTTGGATAAAACGGACACCTGCTACAATTATAGCTTTATCATCATACAAGGCGGCTCACCTACTTGGCATCTGTTGACGGTGTCTTTGAACTTTGTGTTGATTACATTCGTTTATTAATTCTAAAAAATAAACCACTTTGTTGATAGCTCATCAACATGACAACCTGTAAGAATCTTTATATTATATAAAAATGTGCTGCCCAAATCCGGTGCAATCTCCTATTACGTGTTTAAAAGAGTAACGAAACAACTCAAATCAGGCTGTTAAGAGCCACCTAAAACTAAGTGAGAGGAAGAGTAGAATAGAGTACAAGTAATGGTCGAGGAAAAATGTCGTAGAAGTACGAGATTCAGATGACACTGAGAAAGAGAAAGAACCGTTGTTTCCACGGAGGCCACATCGACCCTATTGTATATCATTCTTTTGCCCTAAGAGATAAAGGTCACTTGCCACCCTATCAGGCCATTTGCATAAATAGAGAGAATGAATCAAACTACGTTGGTGCGGTGTAGCACAAGAGGCAAGCGGGAAAACCGTATTAGTGTCTCGCATAGATAGAAGTTTTTACAGCTTATTACTGCCAAACAAAAATCCAAGACTCTTCCGGTTCTGGATGCTCCATTACCCACTAATTGTGTCGAACGAATTAGACATGATGCGACAGCATAATGATCTGACAAAATTATTGCCAACGGAAATCTCTTCTGAAGTGAAAATAGAAGTTGAGGATGGCTAGTTGACAACGTCGAGGACCAGCTTGCGAGACTTCAGAACTGACCACCTCAATCGGCGGAAATAGGCAGCTTGAAGAAGTGCCAGCGACAGCACAAAAATCCACTTAAAACCCATCTACATTGGGTAACATTCTTGTCAGAAAATATAGCCTTCATTAATTCGAGGGAAAAAGTACATAGAAGGTAACCAAACCAGTTTTCTCTCTTCCATCTCAGGTTCAGCAGCCCAAGCAAGGAACGTCACGACATCTTTTCCCATCTGCAGCAAAAACATCAAGTAAACGAGTGAGCTTCATATTTCCCCACATCCGTAAACAGCACTCGTGAAACCTACTAAATTCCTCAAGCTAGAATGCAGTTACAAGCCAAATATACCTGAGATTCCGTGGCAGGAGTACCATCTTCATATTCAACAGCTCCATCGTTAAGCATTTTAGGCATGGCAATTGCTCCACCAGGAAAATAAGGATTATAGTGTAGTCCCTCTCTAATCTACATATTTATTCATAAAGTGAATCATGAAAAAAAATTCAACCATGATATTGCATATCAGTATGGGTCTATGGGGCATTCAAGAAGTCATACAAATATTTATAATTAAAAAGAACCAAATATTAGCTCATCACTCCATGGTTTATGCACATCACTGATAATTGGAGTCAAGTACAAAGAATCCCAGAGCATGAGACACTTCTTTCTTCTATGTCCACATATTGCCCATTTATATGCATCAAAGTAGAGGAATGTTGTTGCATCTAAACCTAGCATATGTGAACAATTTCAGCAAATGGGAGCCTTAATATTATTTTTACACCCTGAAAGTTTGCTGAATGCTCAACAGGTACGGTAGAATTTCAAAAGAGATCTTGGTCAAGAATTTACCGAAACACCAGCAGGGGGATCACGATAACCAGTAAGAAGGGCAAATACATAGTTTTGACCATTGTGGCGGGCCTGAAAGAACAGATAAGAAGATATTTCGTATACAAATATAAAAATAGAAAAACCCTAGTGACATTACTGGCAGGAAGATGCATTACTTTGGTTATGAGACTAAGATCTGGAGGATAAGCCCCCCCATTAGCAAACCTAGCAGCTGCTTCATTTGCGTATGGTTGGGGAAAGCGATCACTGAGTTTACCAGGGCGTGTAAACATCTCACCCTCATCATTAGGGCCATCAGCCACCTCAATCTCAGCTGCCATAGCCTTTACCTCTTCTTCTGTATAAGCAACACCAACCAAATCACGGTATGATACCAGGGACATAGAATGGCAGGAAGCACAGACTTGTGTATAAACTTGATGACCACGACGAATCCTGCCCATGAGAAATTAGTCTGAAGAATTAAGAACAGTAGCACGTGATAGGAACAGTTTTTTTTTTTTCTGGTGAACAAAATCAGTAGAAACAGTTATTATAGCATTCATGTAAAATATGTTTTCAATTCAAAACACTTTGCATAAAACAGATTGGTTGTCCAACCTATCCATTATTTCTCAACACTTCCCCCCCCCCCAAAAAAAAAAAAACTACGATGAAAATTGCTTTTGCAGTCTTCAGCAGGTGAGCTAACGACAAATGATACTTAACCCCAACAATGAACCATGTGAGATCACATCAAAGATGTGAGGATAACAAAGCAAGAGGAAGATTGACCCAAGGCTGGGAAAGATGAGAGCAGTGCCCACTAAACTGAAAAAATAAATGAATTTGACAAGCACCTACTACAACTACAGTAATATACTCTAAATGCAGCATCGGAATAAGATAAAAAGGATGAAAATTCTATCCCAGGAAATAAATATAAACATATATTGAAGGTCTATGGCTTCAAACTTGCGTGCTACCATTAATGGTAAGGAAGGAAAAAACTATAGAAGAAAGCAAAGTAGCACTTACGATGCATGATCATATGAACTGAGGATTCCCTTGTGAGGCCATGGATAGCTTGGACAATCCAGGCCATGCTCAGCCTCATCAGCAGAAGCTGTCGTAGCAAAACTCAAAAACCCGGAGACACTGGCACCGATTAATGCAAGTGCTCTCAAGGACCTGCTGCCAGTAGAGCCAGCATCATCTTTTTTCGTGATGACCGATGATAAAAAGGAAGAAGACTGCTCAAAGTAAAATCCAATCATGAGCGCACAGCATGGTAAACCTTTTTTCTTGGGAAGAAAATAGTTACAGACTCATCAAAAAGCTTATTGAAATGATCCCACTATATCAATCTGCATGAGTACGTAAAATACAATGACTGTATGCATTTTTTTTTGAGATATAACTGGAACAAAGCTCTCAGCCTTATCAACAGGGAAAACATAGCAACTAGAACGTGGACAGTTATAACTTGAACATCCTAAACCTCCTCCTTTCCATATAAATAATTAGAAGATGGAGCAGAAATAAAGAGCTGAATCTAGTGAGTGAGAACTGGGACATGTTTAATAGTGATTCGGCTGCTGTCTAAATTCCAAAGAGTCCAAAATGCATTATGCATACCAAAAACAAAAAACAACAGCAACAAGCTTATCCCCACTAAGTGGGGTTAGTTGCATAGATTGTATGACGCCGTTACACTCTATTAATAACCAAATCTTTGGACATACCATTAACCAAAAGATCTCATTCAAGACACAGCAAAATGGGTACTCAAGTGGCCATCTAATTAAGCATCCCATACTACCCAATAGCAAAATGCCACGCAGTTAAGAAAGTATATTTGCTTTCTAGAAAAGCAATAATAATGGGCACTCAAGTGGGATGGGAAACCCTCTCCCAAAGGCGTTATTAAGGTGATAACAAAACCCTCTTAAAAATTCCATTAAGCATCTCATAATACCCACTATGAGATTTAGGTATCTCATACTACTTAAATCTCCATCAATTGGCCCCCTTGAAAAGGTGATATCCTAATAGTTGCACAATGTGACACTTCACTTGACTTTCTCTTTGGTTATAACCCTTCACCAATTATTCAAGTGATCAAGGAATCCTTACTCAAAAACTAGTTGTTGCAGTATCAACTCACTTAAATACCTTATTGAGCATCCCCATAATGCTCAATATAGGACTTAGGCATCCCATACTACACAAGTCTCCCTCAAATACCAAGAAATAGAATAATGACAAATGGCAAGCACACATGGATGCAGGCCATAAGAATGAAAGCAATCCTTTATGGTAAAAAGAATTAAAATTAGCTTAATCATTATTTATTCATAAGATGTACAAAAATTTACTAGTTTGACTTTCCTCTTTGTTCAAGTATGTGTTTTAATACTGTAGAAACACCTATTAGTTTGTCAACTGAGAACATTTTAGTCTCAACATAACAACTATATGTTTGCAAATCAATATCAATAATAGTACAATAACGCTCTATGGCCCTTAAATACAACTTTGATGAATTCTTTAATCAATCAGCAAATATAAATATGTAGCATTTTTCCCCTTTATCAATAGAATATTAACATCATAATCATTCGTTCAAATGTATATCTCTAACATTATCTCAATATTGTTGCTCAACCATACAATATAAGAAAAATAGATGCATCATTCTGAATTCCCTATATCTGAAAAGGGAGGAGAGGAAACAAAAGAAAAGAAAAAATGTTTCCTTTCACAACTGTGCATATCAACAGAGCACTGTCTTTTCCCTTTTTAATCCCCACTCTTTATCTAAAACTAAGAGTGTTTGTTTTGGTTTGCACATGCTACAGGGGCCAGAAAAATTGTCCCAAGAGCACCAAAATAGAATTAGAAGAAGCAGCAAAACTTACAGCAGATTGAGACTGGAGTTTCCTCCTCAATAACCGTTGAATAACGCCTACAGCCATCTCAGTCTCAGTTTGCACTGCAAAAATATTCACAAAGAGTAGATACATAGATTATAAATGAGTGCATAATAAATCCATACTAACTAGAGATAAAGTAATCAAAATAGGCATAAGGAAAATGATAAAGTAATCAAAATAGGCATAAGGAAAATGACACAGATAATCGCCAATTAAGCCTGGATAACAACATAACACTGTTCATCAGATATTATCTGCGAAATCATAAATATTAATAAACCCTACGATGAAGATTTCCATGAGAAGTGCTTGGAGCCTGGGAGATTCATGAATGTAGGATCATGTCTAGACAATGTAAGAAGTAAAAATTGCTTTGAACGTTCATGCATAGGTACCACATAACAGATATTAAGAAAATAAGTAGTACGAAATACCACAGAGCCTGCAATTTTAATGGTCAGGATTATATGTTCTCCAAAATTTTAATATCTAATTATCACCAAGCAGAACTTAGAAAAGAGAAGCTGCTAAAAAAATTAACCTTATACATAATGCAGTCTGACTAGTTAAGATCAATGATAGAGTCATAGGTCCAGAATTGAGTTAAAAAAAAAAAAGTTAAACAAACGGCCATGGAAATGAAAGATCAAATGCTTTTCAAGAGTGCATTTAAAAAGGGAAGTGGGACATAGAATAAGGATAACTCATCAGGCCCCCATGCGACAAATTGAGCAGGGTTGCTTCCACTCAAGCGTTGTAACTAAAAGGATTAGATCATAATTTTACTATCATGAAATGATTCTGGATATTCAATAGATGATATTTTTCAGTGTATTTCCTAACGCATGGGTCCAAGAGCAGAATATGCAACCAGATTGACAGCGGACTTCACATTTTCACATGACTAATGCTAAAGAGGATCAAACACTTGAAATAATACATTTCATCAATTTGACCCTCAACATCAAAGAACATTTTCTTACTCCTAAAGGGGGGGCAAAGCCGGTAATAAGTTGTATCCTCTACAGTTCACAAAAAGATTTCCAAATATACATACTTCTAAGCCCTACTAGTATCACTGTCAAATTTTTTTCAGGCAAACTTCTCATGCAAGTGACCACACAGATGATCAAGCCTATCTTCCTAACCGTGCCGATCAAATATATTTAAAATAAAATAGTATCACTGTTAATCCATATTCTTCATGTAAAATACTTTTAAAATAAAATGGCAACCTAAATCCACGCACAGGCACAATATAGTGGATTTCAGGCATTTCAGTTCCTGGCTAAACATAGATACAACAAATACACGAGGGCAAGCAAAAGAGAGGGTCGAAGGATAACAAGCTCGGTATCTAGCAATGTCTCCAACACAATCGCCGGTAATTCGAATCGATCACGCAATATTCTGCCGATGTATTAGAAGAGCAGAAACTTGGGATTAATCAAAAGGACGAAGCCCCCGGGCTTCCAATGGGACAGGTGCGAATAGACATAGTTATGCACTGATTCATAGCTCAAGGACATACATTTAAAATATAAATAACCAAAATCGGAGAACACAGAATTCCAAAGTAGTTCATAGATCCGAGGAAGTGAGGAAATGGAAGAGAGGGAGAAAAATTACTCACCAAGGGAAGGCGATAAATCCGAAGATGAAGCTTAATTGAGCTCTCGTGGTGAAAGGAACAGAGGCAGGTCTGAGATCAATGAAGAGGAAAAAGAGAGAGAATTCGGAGGATGAGCAGCAGTGACAGCCTACTCATGCGGGAGGAAGATGAGACACAACGCCCCTGTTCTGACCACGAGAATTTTCTGGGCTTTTGGGCTTGTTGATGGGCTTTCCGTCAATCGAAAGCTCACCAGAATTTTTTATTTACCATTTACAGCTGAAATGATCTCGACAGGCAAAAAATTGAGAAGGTAAATTGCCTTGCTTGTGAATTTCTCTCCACTGTTTTTTTTTTTTTCATCCACTGCTTCTTTACTATAAATCTAAATTGTTTAAATTAAATATATACTCTTAAAAATTATTAAATTCAATTTAACAGTTTAAATTTACGGTGATTTCTCTTTTGCTCTCATTTACAAGAAAAAAAAAATCAACTCTATCAATATTCCTTCATGACAAATATTATTTTGGCCTAATAATAATAATAATAATAATAGAAATTGTGAAAATTAGATATGTCAACATCACGCTTTTTTTAATGTCAAAATGCAATCTAGAACATACTTCTTGTTGTTTTTTTTTTTAATAAAAGATAAGTCAAAGAGACCTAAAGTTACAACAGCTTAATAGATTACATATTATCTATCAATCTCGAGTTATGCCACGCATCCAACAACAAAGTCATTTAAAAAACAAAAATCAAAAGCCCCATTATGGGCATCTCTGGTCAAAAAATCAGTGACTTGTGAAATCTCATGATTAGAACAATATATCTTAACATTTTAATCCAGGACAGAAAGCTTATGTATCTATGCAACGTCAAGCCTCAAGGGATGATTAAGACCCCACTTGTTTGGATCAAGTGAATAGCTTCCAAAGAGGCTGAATTGCAAGCAATTTTATCCATTTGATGTTGCTTACAAAGCTTAAGACCCAAATGTAAGGCAAAGAGTTATGTTATGATAGATGGAATAAAACTCAATCTACTTTGAAAACTTAAAACCCAATTACCTCAAGGATCCCTTAGGACTCCCCCACATATTGCATGTCCCTACCAGTCCATTAAGCAATCCATGTCTAGTAGAATATAGCCTCGAGGAGGTGGAGACCATCCAACTTATAATCTACCTACCCCTTTAAAGATCTTGTGCTTGAGTCTTCCATTTTTCATAGACTCATCAAATTACAATTTGGCACTATGTATAATATCAATTGCTTCGAGACATATCCCTTCCAAAGCATATTTGCATTTATTTTTTCATAAGAGCCATTAAATGGTTCAAAAAGGTAATCAGCTAAGCTTGATCTGTGTTTGTTCTAAAACCACAACTGTTTTGAATATTCTTCCTTATCCATACCTACAAATTTAAAGAGAATAAATATTGAACATGTAAAGGGTTAGTAATATAAGACTACACTTGTTGAGCTATCTAACAATCTCAAAGTATATGAATAATTGTTTCCTTGCCATTGCATTTAAAAGGTTAGTTTGCACTCATAGTTATCCCTCTTATTGCTCCAAGAGGGTTGGTGAGGAATCTTTCATGAAGAACTTGACATAAAAGTATTTTTCTTAGGAATTGACCACTTCCATAGCTTCCTCCAAGTAGGCTAAAAGGCCTTGGGAAGAGGTAAGCAAAGTTAACGCTAAAATTTCCATTGGAAGACACTCTCTAAAAAAAAGAAATCTACTTGGTTTCCATTTCAACAACCCACATAGGTATAAACTTGAGCCATTCGCTATAGTCCCAATCCCCATTACTTTGAATAAACAAATTTGCACATACTCTAAGGTCAAAGAGGTGGTGATTTTTGTCCACATAATGGATTAAGGGATTTTCAAGATGTTTATAAATCCCACCAAGCTTTAATGCTCCAACCATTATAAACTTTTCTACCCACCATAAATATAAACTTCTCCTAAACAACTACAATGCTCTTCCAAGTAACGGAGGAGTTCATTTTTTTCATGACATAGATGTAAATCCCATTACCATGTTTATACTTAGTCTTTAAGATTCTGACCTAAAGGGCCTTAGGTTTGGTTACTAAGCCCTAGCATAATTTCATAATGAAAGCCAATTCTGTCAATACAAGTCCTTAAACCCCAAACGCTCTTTCACTTTATCCTTCTTGAGAGTGTCTCAACTAATAAGGTGCATCTTCCTACCCCCCTCGCCTTGATTCTAATAGCAATTTCTATAATTTTTGTAATGTCATTCAAAATCCCCTTATGTAAAAGAGTAGATGAATAACTAGAAACTGCAAAGATAATAAATTTAATTAAAATGACTCTACCAACAAGAGAAAGAAAATTACCTTTATTGGATGAGAGTTTATTATGAACCTTTTGTAAGATGGGGTGATAAACATTCTTAGAAGTTCTTTGGTGAGGGAGGGAAATGCCAAGATATTTACCTAGATCCTTAATGATCCTAATTACCAGATAATCACTCAAATCCTTAACATGATGGAATTCACATTTTAAAAATAGGGAAGCTTCAAACTTTGCAAGATTTGTATCATGGCTCGATCCATTACAAAACTTAACCATAGTATCTCATGGAACTTGTTAATTGTTATAACTCATTAGTATATCTAAAAGGTTACTTTTCTTCAATCAACCCCTTTTTTAGTTCGATTAGTTACGATGCGGCTAGATTCAAACACACCAATTTTATAGTATGAAAATGTTTTTTATACACAAAAAATTAGGTGACTTAAGTCCCAAGACTTATCAATGTTAAGATATATCTTCAGATTAAAAACATTTCTATGAATAGAAGATAGTGAATTAATGGTGATTTTCATAGAGACATTGCAATGCACATTAAAGTGACCAAGAAGGTGTTGTTCAGGTCTTAATAAGAGTTTGACTGAATTGTGCCCTTAACACGTGAATTTGTTGGTGAGAGATAGGTTATATGCTTCTTTTAGGTTTTATTACAAGGTGTTTTTAACTACTTTACCGGAATCCATGAATGACCGTCAACTCATTAAATGTGTCTTAAAATTTTAAAAAATCAACTTCACCTGTATTAGAAATAGGGGAAGAGTGATGTATGATACGTGATGAGTTATAAAATTAAATTTATAATGGGGGTAAAATTAAAAATAGCAAATGCCCTGACCTAGCAAGCCTTTATGATTTAACTTACCTAAACTTTTATTATTATCAAAAAATTAAAAAATAATATTAAATGACTCTTTACACACTTTATATTTAGTACTAAAAAAATTATTATAGAATGTGCCATATTGTAAGGCTAATTAAGGATCAACTTGATTATCGAACTCACTATATACTTACTTTGATTGGAAAACCAATGCAAGATACAACTAATTTTAAAACATTTTTTATACAATTACCTATTATTCATAGATCGAGTCAAGTAGGATTGCATTAACAACAAAATCATGTAATATTTTTGATATCCAGCCTTCACTTTAAATTTAGATTGGCCATTCTTTTATTTAGACCGCTGGGCATTGTAATTGTCAACATTGTACCACTGAACCACTGGAACATTATTATCAGATGAGAGAAATTTATGTATAGCTCCAGTCCATCATTTTATTTATGTTTTATCTAATAAAAATTTATTATGTCAAATTAATTTAATATCATGTGTTATTCCTTATTTATATTATTTTAAAATATTTTAAATTTTTGTATTTTTCTCTCCCCTCATTTATGGTGATAATAAAGAGAGAAAAGATAATAAATGAAACGGGCACTCTTTTGAAAAAATTATTAAAAATGATGAAACATAAAATTTTATTTGATTGAATTCATATAATTTTATTTGACAGAATATGAATGAGATAGTGCTCCTAATCTAAGAATTTCTTATTAGATTATGAATCATTTACTTTTGTATTTGATCACAACTTTAGTTTTTCCAAAAATTTTATCAAGGAACCAAAAGCCATTTGGGTGAATTTTTTTATTTTAAAAATCAATTATAAAAGTCCATTTACTACAAATTGATATAAAAAATAAATAAGTAAAAACACCCAACCATAATAAAAATAAAACATAAAAATAAGTAGAGTAAGTTTTTCCTTTACCAACAAATTTAATTTTCATAATAATAAATCTTTAAGGATTCAATTTAGACATCTGAAGCTCAGCAAACCTTTTCTTATCTGGGGGGAGGGAGGGGGAGAGAGAGCCGTTATCGATATTCTTTTGTTTTAACCTCATCTTCACGACAGGCTGTTCATCACCAAATGGGCCCTCGCGGCCCACACCTCTCATTTATCCCCTAATTCAAACGGGCAAATGGCACTTCCTTTTGTTTTTATGCCTGTCGTAGCCTTGCTTAACCTTTTTTTTTTTTAAGAATATACTATCCAGTCTATCCTCAATTTTAACTATAAGATAAAATTAACTAATTTTATAGTTTTTAATGAGTGTTTATATATATATATATATATATTTAAACTTAAAAAAAGTTTAAACTTTTAATTTTGTCTTTTACTAAAATTAAAGAAATTTTGAGCGAAAAATTAAAATTAAAGAACATAATGAAATGCTGTATAAAAATAATTAAAAGCATGTCAACTTATTATAATTAAAGAGGGTATAGTTGAAAAAAATTAACCACTATTTTTGTGATATGTTTAAGATCAATTTAAATTTGAAAACTCTTTCAAGTGATTGGGACAATAAAAAATAATTGACTATTAAGAACATTAAATTGTAAAGTACGAACTTACAATGAGTCATGAAATGCATGTAAACTTTCCTTTTTAATGTGAAGATAGGGTGTGCGTGGGTAAAATTGAAAGAAAAAAAAAGGTAAGTATTTAATTCGCCTCCGTCACTTCCTTAAAACAAAATTTGCCCTTAATTAAATCTATATTATTGGAGTGGCAGGAGGAAATCCATATCATTGGCATTTTGTTACAAGAAACATGATTGAACTTGAGCAACCTCGATTTTGTTTAGTATAAAAAGCGACGTAACTCAAGTTATTCTGTTATTTGATCCGGTCCCACTATAGGGTTTAAATAGTAAAGTAATAGTTGATCATCAATAGTACTAATATTTTAATTAGGAAGAAGTAGTGCAATACAAGTATCATCCCACTCAGATACTTACAATTTATAATTTATTAAGTGAAACGTTGACTAAATTCCCGCTTCACAAACGTTGGCTTTTAGCATAACCATTCGTCCATATAATTGCATGATATTTTCTAATTACATCATTGTGTAGTAGTCAATAAATTAGATGGTAATTAGAACTAAAGGCAATCAACCCGTGCCTCAGCAATCAACTAGTCCAGCACACTAAGATTTTCCGCTTCTTAATCTTGATTATTAAAAAGCATCACGCAAATACCAAGCAACGTAATTGAAAAATAAAATCAAATGCAGAACACAAACTGAGTAATTATCACTCATTGGGATGGCCATTTAAAAAAGGACACTCATTGGGAATATGATGGCATTCATGCAATTTCGTGCAAAATCATTGGACACTAAAGGGTAGGGAAACATACACAGGAGAAGAATATTTTTTTTTGCTATGTACTCTATCGTCGGAGTCATCTTCCTCGGTGGCACCCTGTCCTATTCCTTCGTAGTTTTGCAGGCAGATTTGTTATATCTTGGCAGTCATTTTCTTCTGTGACACACTGCTCTTCTCCTTCACGGTTCTGCGCATCAAACAACATTCTCGACTCGTCTTCTATCTGTTTGGTCCACCCAACTTGCCCTGTTATTCTCTGAGATCAACCGAAGCCATTAATGGCACCCATGCCATTTCACTCACTCTCGCATTTATTTCATCAACACTCTCCTTAGTACGACCTTTTAAACCGTCACACTCATCGCCCGTTTCATTATTTCACAAGTAAACTTCCTCATCAAAGCGAAGCCGTAGGGTCTGATGCTAAGTCCCACATCCCGAGGATTTGTCTCCTATCTCCTCTGCATTGATCTCTGATTTATATTTAGATATTATACTATTTGGTTCCCTTGTTCATGCTGCCGTGTTCTTCTCTATGAGTTTACGATTGAGTTTGTACTAGCAGAAGGCATCATTCAGGTCCTCTGGCAAATTTCTCGCTGTCTTTGCCCTTTCGGGGAAATCTGGCCCTGTTTAACCTATGGTCTACAATCTTCATAGCTCTAAAAAGAACGATAAGCAGCTTCGTCTCGGGTTTTTGTATGGGAGTCTGTAAAACAAAAACAAAAAAAGGGAGAGATCCCCTCCTCGCTTCAGGGCATTCTAAATTTGAGGCCTATTCTCTATTCCCTATTCCCTATTCCCCATAAGGATCTTCTTTAGAGTCTCTCGATACATTCATGTGAGTTGTCTTTTCTTCCGTTGAACTTAATACTTTAGTAGCTCAAAATCTCAGCTAATTTTCACGTTCAAATTCCTTAAATTTAGTGCCTGATGCCACAGGCCGATCCAATGAGGCATATGTGCCTCTGTCTTCTGCTTATTTCGTGGATTTTGTCTATCCCACGTACCCATGAACTACAAGTTGCCCAGACCCAAGTCTTATTACAGATGAGGACGTATTTTGAGTACCCCGCCTCGCTGCAAAGTTGGGGAAATTATCACGGTGACTTCTGTAACCTTTCTTCTTCTACACATATGAGCATTAAATGTCAAGATAATTCTGTATCTGAGCTTAAAATTAGGGGAGACAAAACTGCGAAGTCTGATGAGTTCAATGGATTTGCAATTCCCAATCAAACGCTGTCGACGAAGTTCTCTATTGATTCTTTTATCACCGCATTAACGAAGTTGACCAACTTAAGGGTTCTTAGCCTGGTGTCCTTGGGAATTTGGGGTCATCTTCCGGACAAGATTCACCGATTATCTCTGCTCGAAGTTCTGGACCTGAGCTCAAATTTCTTGTTCGGTTCTATCCCACCGAAAATTTCCGCAATGGTAAAGCTCCATACACTGAAACTCGATGGCAATTATTTCAACAACACAATGCCCGATTGGTTCGATTCATTGTCTAATCTGAATGTCTTGAGTTTGAAAACCAACACCTTGCGTGGTTCGTTCCCCTCTTCGTTGTGCAAAATAAAGACACTCACCGATATTTCTTTGTCTCGCAATGAGCTATCTGGTGAATTGCCTGATTTGAGCGCTCTCAGTGGCCTGCGTGTTCTGAATTTAAGAGAAAACCATTTAGGTTCTGAACTGCCAAAGATGCCCACAGGAGTGGTCACAGTTCTGCTAAGCAGTAACTCATTTTCTGGCGAGATACCTAAGCAGTTCGGTGAATTGGGTCGGCTTCAACATCTAGATCTTTCGGCAAATCACCTGAGTGGAATACCTCCATCTTCCCTGTTCTCATTGCCAAACATCAGTTATTTAAATTTAGGTAGCAATGTGCTAAGTGGGTCACTTCCAGATCGACTGAATTGTGGCAGCAAACTTGGTTTTGTGGATATTGCTAATAACAAAATAATTGGTGGACTTCCTTCTTGCTTGGCCAATACGTCGGACAGAAGAGTTGTCAAATATGATGGAAATTGTTTGACTCTCGATTCTCAAGGTCAGCAGCCAGGGTCTTACTGTGAAGAAACCAAGACGGACAGGAAGAAATCGATGGCGTGGAAAATAACTGTAGCAGGGGCCATTACTATTGGACTTGTTCTTACCCTTGGGCTTTCGGTACTGGGAGTTTTCTTTTGTAGAAAATGTCAGAGGAGAAGGACGGCTAAGCATTATTTGTTGTCAAAGACTGTGCAAGATAATTCCACTACACGGCTTTCATCTCAACTCCTCGCAAATGCCAGTAAGAAAACTTTTAAGTCTTCAAGTCTCTAGTTTTTTTATTGGATATGCACATCTCAAATAGTTAATGTGTACTTTCAATTTCTTTAAGGGTTCATTTCTCAGGCGGTGAAGCTAGGGGCACAAACTACTTCAATCTGTCGACCAATGTCAGTTGAAGAGTTGAAGGAAGCCACCAGAAACTTTGACTCGTCAGCGTTTATCGGTGAAGGCTCCTTGGGAAAGGTGCCCTGCAACTGCTTAAAACATTACTTTAAAAGACTGATTTTTGTTTTTTTGGTTTCTGGTTTCCAATTCATCGTAACTTCCGCATTCCAGCTATACAAAGGTAAACTGGAGAATGGATCCTATGTGGCAATACGATCTTTGGCTCTGTCAAAGAAATGCTCAATTCAAAATCTTAAAGCTCGGTTGGATTTACTCTTAAAGCTTCACCATCCAAATTTGGTCAGCCTCTTGGGTCACTGTATTGATAGTTGTGAACAACGTGATTCAACCACCAACAAACTTCATCTTGTATACGAGTATGTGCCCCATGGAACTTACCGTGCCTATCTGTCAGGTTGGTGTGACTGTGACATCATAGTGTATCGTTGAGAGCATGAAACATCACCTTTTGTTGCTCTCTGGCTCATCATTCTTGTTTCTTTTATCTGGAACTACAATTATGTAGAACGCCCTATTCAGGGTGAAACTTAGTATAGAGAACTCTTGTCCAATTTTCATTGCCTCTCTTTATATGTCATAACTTTAATCTAAAAAGCCTAGATCCACTAAGCTAGCTTTATTGACATATGCAGAGTTCTCTCTAGAGAAGCCGCTCAAATGGTCTGATAGATTGACAATTTTAATTGGCATTGCCAAGGCTGTGCACTTTTTACATACTGGGGTTATTCCAGGTTGTTTTAGCAACCGATTAAAGACGAACAGTATTTTGCTTGATGAGCATTACATTCCCAAATTAAGCGACTATGGAATATCCATCCTTGGAGAAGAAATTGAAAGGTTTGAGGTATGTTTGCTCGCTATTCAACTCAGCTAGCTGACCTTTACGCAATATGAATGATCATTGAGTGACTCGTTTCTTTCTAATTGTTACAGGCAATGAGACATGACTCAAAATCATGGTATGAATGCTGATAATAGATTATTTTACACAGTTGCAGCTTATAAATTTTATCTTAAATTATCTTTCTGGCCCGGTTCAATTACGCCCCTACTATTGGCGTCTTTATGGAATGAACTTATATCCAGTCCTCAGAGCCACAACCATCACCATAAACTTTGCTCTCTTTAATAGCTCCGCTGTCACATACAACATCATAAAATGATGTTCATTCCCACGATTATTTTAGTTGCCTTGACTTCTTTGGCCATTATGCTCTTATTGACCTTTCTTCAACCTCTTGCAATATTCCTTTGCTTTACTTTAAACCTCATTACCCTTTTATCACTGTCTCTATCTTTGTGCCAGTGTGTTGTTGAATCAATAATTATCTCCCTTTTCTGTGACCATTATCAATGACATGAAAAATCGAATGCGGAATTTGTCAAATATAGTTTAAAATCGTTTCTCGTCAATGATGTATTGGCTGCTTTGGTTCTATTTGTGTTGTTGGTCAATGACAAACAAATCATTCTACCCAATTGTTCTTGCAGCCAAAGGGAACCGTTTGAGGATGATGTTTATAACTTTGGATTCATATTGCTTGAATCACTTGTTGGACCCATAGCTAGCGGAAAAGGGCAAGCGTATTTTCTGAACGAGAAGGTAACAAGGAAACTTTTGGAAACTTCTGTCTCGCTGAACATGTTAAATGTCTGGGTAATCTTCTAGTGTGTAAAATTTTTTCAAATTCCTCGATCTTCACCGTAAGGAGACTTCCAATTCTTCTACATTTTCTTCCTTGCCTGTGATATTCAATTCCGTCAAATTCCTGAGACGTCAGAGTTTGAAATTTCTTGGATAGATGATAAAATTCAGCAGTTTTGGGATACTGATACGTTTATGTGAATGATAGGCATCCTTCGGAAGTCAAGATGGCAGAAGAAAAATTGTGGATCCCATAGTGTTGACATCTAGCTGTCACGAGTCCTTATCAATCGCAATAGCTATAACAACCAAATGCATATCCCCGGAACTATCTTCTCGCCCCTCATTTGAGGATGTCCTGTGGAACTTACAGTATGCAGCTCAAGTGCAGGCCACAGCAGATGCAGACCAGAAATCAGAGTCTACGTCATAACTCAAGAATCAAGATTACAAAAGGGGCAGAACATGGGATTCAATTGGTTCATATCCTTCTCCAACAAAGTAGATTTTTAAACCCCAGAATCAGTATCGGGATCCATAAGTAACTGCAGTGTCAGATTTCATTAACAGATGTGAAGTTGTAAACGTTGTTTTTCATGTCTTGCTAGGGTTTTGATAGGCTAGAGATAGAAAGGATTTATATTCTTTTCAGAAACAGGAACAAGAGTTAAACTTCAGGTCAATAAAGCCAGTCATGAACCTGGTTAACTGCTGCTAACACGAGGTTGTAACCATATGAAGTAAGAGGATTGGTATATTTCCCTAATAACTAGCTTTGATCAGCTTCCTGTCCCTACTTGTAACAGGAACTTGTCTGTCCTTTTAGTTGTATATATAAAGAAGAGTTATCAGATTAGAGGGACAGATGGAACATCTCATTGCTGAACTGAAGCAAAAGCAAAAGGATGGAGGATTGTCAAATCCTACCCCAACGACAAACAAAACTATCACACTATCTAGGCAAAAAGTAAAATACATAACGTAAAAGCAAAGAAAAAATATCATATATTTAAGGTTTACTTTAGTCGGTCGTGATCTGGAAGTGGACAGCGCAACCCATGCCACTATCGGCTTTGGAGAATGAAGTTAACATTATTATGCGACAAGAAATAAAGCGGATCTGTAGGTTGAGCTTCACAAGGCAAACTAGTTAACTGCATATTGGTCTTGTGCTATTACGATGGCGATTGGTGCACCCAATCTTGCAAGGAGTGTTAGGTGATAAATAGCATGTAAGCTGTGCTTTTGCTACTTTCTAACGTTGATTGCTACACACTCAGATCAATTTGAAATTCAATTCACTTTAATAAGTCCCAACTCGAATAGGGAGCTGTACTTTCTATAGACCTCTCCTTCTTGGTGATGTTTTGAAAAACTCAACCTAACCATCAGAACAAGTTTAATGTTGCTTTCCTTGAAGGGATGGCTTGCTTGATTTAATCCTGCAGTCCGAAATTGCAGACCACTCAATTAACATATCTTAAGCGAGCGATATTAGCTCTAATATTGGACACAGCCAACCAAATCTCTCTCTCTCTCTGTTCCCTTGAACAAGCACAAATCTCACAGAACTTAACCTCGAAGAAAGAGGAAAAACATTGGCCGATATAAACGGAAAAAAATCGGAAGCATTAATGAGAGAATAAGACTGCTAGTTAAATTCGTAACCATGCACACAGATATCGAGATTAGAGAGCGCCCTACCTTAACCCATGCAACCTCTCTTGGAAATCTTGATTCAAAACATGGTTTTTGATCTCTCGGATATTGCAAACATTTCAATTGAAACTCCTGCTGTTACTTTCTATTATGTTTATTGACATAGTAATGTAAACGCGGCACTAGGCCACTAACTTCAGATTCCCATAAAGTCACATTTTCTTGTGAAAAAATATGGCACAATCAATTATTATCAAAATTTAAATAAATACTTATTAATTTAAGTTAATTTTTTATCAACAAGTATTCACCCGAGTTTTGTCAATTCATTTTAAATTGATAACAATTCGTCTGACTTATTTTTTATTTAAATTTTGATAATAACTAATTATTTACTGATATAAATTTCATATAAAATTCCTTAATTATTATTTTCTCTTTTCTTTTCGTTATTTTTTTTTTGGGGTATATTTCATGTATCAAGAATTGTTATACTAATATTAAGAAGATAACATTATTGAATTGAATCGTACTACAGACACTGGAATTGAAATTCGAACATTTACCTGAAGCCTTATACCTAAGCATTGTGCTTCAAACTCGGAAGAGGACAAAAAGAGAAATAATGATATCAGGACAATATGCATGTGAGAACCATGGCAAGACGAGCCTAGCCACTGACAAATTCGAAAAAAGAAAGGAGGTCAGGTTGCAAATGGGCGCCGTAAATTCTCGATCCATTTTCTTGGGACTGTGTCCATAAATTTTGTTTTGGCTGTTTAGCACACTTATCATGAAAATTGAACGCTGATGATACAAAATAATAGATTACAATGTTCTTTAAATTCACCGTCATCCTTTTTATTATTCATTGTTATTATTTTATTTTATTTCTGTGGAAGCATAGCTTTTTAAGTAATCTTTCACTGTCAGCTTGTGAGTCCCACAGGCTCAGATATCTTCGAGTCTCCGAAATGAGGACCCATTTTGAAGTCATAACAACGAACTCCTCCAGCTAGCGTCTGCAGTTCTGTCATTCCTACCAGGCTACCACTTCCACTCACTGCTTTTTCCGGTAAGCTTACATTAAGTTTGGTCCGCCTCTTATTATGTTTTACGCCTTTCTTTTTTTTCCCCCCGATGCATTTGTATTTATGTATTTATTATTTAACTTGCAAGTAAATTCATGAAATTTCTGCCTACTTTAAGCCTCAACTTGCATGGTTCTTTTAATGCATTCTCTGATCGGTGGATATAATGACTCTTACTTTGGTTCTGAGAATTTCTGCATTTGTTTGTTGGTCCAGCTCGTAAACTCTTGTTTACATGCTCAATGCAATCATTTTCTGAAAGGCGGGAGGTTTTTTTCCTTACTTCGTTTTCAACTTTCAAATAGTATGCGTGGTGGCTTCAGGGTCCAAGTCTCAGATAAATTCTCAAATGCCCGCGTCTTGTCCAGCCAGCTCACTGTAGTTCTCGCTTGATTTTCACGGCTTCATCCCTTCTTCTCTCTCTTCTCATTCTCGAGCCTGCTGAAGCACACTCACAGTCACACACGAACGGTAAGGGTCGAAGAGTTTTTCTTTTTCTTTTTTTTTGATGATTCTATGGGAATCCATCGCGATGTTCTCATTTTCTGTATTGCATTCTCCTGATTTCCGAGTTCTGTTATCTTTAAAACGTGATCGCCATCCTAATTTCCTGCCTTTATTCTGTTTCACTTCAGAGGGCTTGTGATTTCGCACATCTCACGACATTTTGAAGTCACTAATTCATCAATACAAGAGTCACAATCTCGGCAGCAATGGTCCTAGGCTTGAGAGGAAAGAATAGGAGAAGTGCCACTGTTCAAATTGATTACCTCGTTCATATACAGGAGATTAAACCTTGGCCCCCTACTCAATCCCTCAGATCCCTTCGTTCTGTATTAATGCAATGGGGAAATGGCGAATGCAGTTCAGGTTCTACCAATCTTGTTGTCCCCTCTCTTGGTTCTGTTATCGGTGAAGGAAAAATTCAATTTAACGAGTCATTTAAACTTCATGCAACTTTGTTGAGGGATATGTCTGTTAGAGGCGGTGATGCTGATGTATTTCAAAAGAATTGTTTGGAGTTCAACTTGTATGAGCCTCGAAGAGATAAGGCTGTTAAAGGCCAGTTATTGGGAACGGCTATCATAGATTTGGCAGATTATGGTATGCTCAAAGAGGCGTTGAGCATTAGTGCTCCATTGAACTGCAAGAGAAACTACAGAAACACAGATCAGCCACTTTTGTTCATTAAAATTCAGCCTGTTCAAAAGGATCACAATAGCTCGTCTTCAAAGGACAGGTTGTCAAAAGCTATGTCAAAGGGAAGTGGTGTTGGTGACTCTGTTTCGGAATTGATGAATGAAGAATACACTGAGGAAGCTGAGATTGCCTCTTTTACTGATGACGATATTTCCTCACATTCATCTGTGGCTGCAGTTACTTCCGTCCTTGAGTCCATTGGAAATAGAACTCCTGAACTTCAAGAGGTACCGTAGTTTTCTTCTATTCCTTCCTTGCATTGATAGAAGCATGCACTCTACTTGTATTGTTGTAACTGTGTTAATATTGAGGGACTCTACTTCTATTGTTGTAACTGTGTTAATATTGCGGGGATACTTATTTACATAGGCCCCTCGTCTCGTGTAAGATAGAACATGAACATTTATAAAGATAGAGAAAAGGGGGGTCTTTCACTTGGGGCTTGTTAATCACTTTTGACAAACATTTCTGAAAAAGAATTTTACGGGGCAGACTTATGTTATATTTGTACCCGGTCCATGTACTAGTACCATCCTTTCAAGGTATTGGGAACATCTTTACAATGTGTTGGCAGTGTCTATTCAATACGCTAATAACCAGTTACTGGCTTCTTAGGCATCCAAGAACTTCAATGTGTTGACATTCTTTCATCCCAGTACTAGGATAAATTTGCATTGCAGAATCCATATTTAGAAAATGAATCTATGCATCACTTCAACTGCTTTCCTCTTAATGAATCTGCTTCAGATTAATGCAGCATTTAGATGCTTTGTGTTGGAGAGGGATTAGGAACCACTACTGCATTACAGCATCTTTGATCTTCTGAATTTAATGTGAAAACAGAAACTGTATTTTCATGTTTTCATCAATGCTTAATAATGCAGTCTACTAGTTGGGTGAATTTCAGAATATCACAAAAATCCTCATCATACTATATTATTTGATATGATAACTGTAACCAAATCGCAGAATGGATCTACTCAAAACACAGATGGGAATGATAAAGAGCATGCGCTGGATTCAGAAAAAAGGATTGAAAAATTGAATATAATACCGCAAGATACATATAAGAAGCTGGAGAGGAGTTCGCCATACACATCATCAGTAGATGTATCATCTGATCTTGGGAGTCCACTAAATGGTCAAACTTCTATTAGTTCTCATCATAGTTCAGTGACATCCCAAAAGCATGTTGTCTCATCAATCGTTCATCGTTCTTCCCCATCTTTAGCACTTGACAACTTAAATGAAAATCCTAGGACCAAGACTGGCAGCAGTTACTACGAGCATTTGAATCAGCATGTTCAAATAAACGCTGATACAAGTAGAACTATAACTACTGATGCTCAATTAAACCGCAATGAATGCACTTCTCATGGTTATCCTTGCAACACAGCATCTCCAGATAATAATCACTATGTGGGAACGAATCCTGGCACTGCAAACAAGGATGGTTCTGAAATCAACGACAAACTTTATAAGGGATGTGAGGAAGCTGAAAATTATCACGTGGAAAGCATAAGTGATAAATTTTACTGTAGTTCTGTTAATGATAAACATGCAAATGAAATTTCTAATTTGTATAAGCTCTGCCATGTGACAGATGAAAATTCTGGAACTGAAGGTGTCAAAGATCAAAACCCATTGAGTACAAGTGCATATACTTTAGATGGGACAAATATTGTTTTGAAAGACAATAGTCTGAAAAGTGAAAGATTAAAGCACGTAAAGTCTGTAAGGTCACCTACAGACTCAACATTGAGTACTGGATCACCTGGCAGTAATCATCATGATGAAGTAAAGGATGCTGGCATGGTTGGAGATGTGCAAAATAATGGAGGGAATATCAGAGTCAGTGACAAAAAAGATGCCAAGGTTTATCCAAAGGAAGTAAGGAGTTCAATTTCAGACCGCAAAATCAATCTTTTGGAAAGCAAGATAAAGATGCTTGAAGGAGAGTTAAGAGAAGCTGCAACTATAGAGGTTGCTCTATATTCTGTAGTTGCTGAGCACGGAAGCTCCATGAGTAAGATATATGCCCCAGCTCGGCGCCTTTCTAGGCTCTATCTTCATGCTTGTAAAGAAAATCTTCGATCAAGAAGGGCTGGAGCTGCTAAAAGTGCTGTTTCTGGACTAGTACTTGTTGCAAAAGCGTGTGGAAATGATGTCCCAAGGTACGCCTGAGCTAAATATTTTCTATGCATATAATTTTAAGCGCTTTCCCACCAACCTGTTGAAATGTAACAATGAGATTTGGTGGGCAGGAACGAAGGCTAAGAACCGATCATCATCAACCTCTTTCTATTTTTAATATTAATGAATATAATCATAAACACAGAAATCAGAAGATAAACTATCATCAATAGCTACTTTTCTGGATAATCATGAGGAATGATTATATAATATCATTTATCCTTTGACACATCATATAATCAATTAAGTTAAAATTTTTATTTGCTTTGTAGTTCAAGCCTGAAAACTAATTGCATCGTCGTAAAAGGTTAGGGGTCAGTGAAAATAATATTTCCTTTGATCAGTTAATTGAGAAAACAAGAGGCTTCTACAGCTTAAAGAATGTTTCCTTCTTTATTTTCTGAACTTGCCTAGATGCCTCTGTCAAAATACTTACAAAACGAGACTCAGCTTCATCTAAACTTTACAACTAATAGGATATAAGATCAAATGGCGAATGAAGTGAAGTAGATATCTTGCTAACGGTTCAATCTAATGAGTCAGAGAAGTTGCCAATTCTTGCTACATGAGATGTTATTTTTTCATCATAAGCTCTGCGAACTGATTGACCTCTGGCATCCAACTGCAGGTTGACATTTTGGTTGTCTAATTCTATCGTGTTAAGAACAATTATATGCCAAACCACCAAAAATGTAATGCCTTCTGTTACTGCTGGACCTAGCGTAAAAAGGAGAATTGGGGGAGAGGGGAATGACAAGATAACTCCCTCACTGCGATGGAAGGGATCCTCTCCCAGAAACAATGAAAACACCACTGTTGAGCAAGAAGGTTTTGGTAATTGGGATGACCCCCTTGTATACATATCAGCACTGGAAAAGGTAGAAGCTTGGATCTTCTCTCGCATTGTGGAATCTATATGGTGGCTGGTAATCCCTTAACTATTTTCTCCTTCTGAACAATCCTAAAGCAGCATACTAGACTGGATAAACATTAAAATTTTTTATCAGCATCTTATCTGAATTCTACTTGGTCTATATCCAGACTATGACTCCACACATGCATCAAGTTGATGCGAAGGTCACCGAAAAAGGTGTGGGCTCTTCCTCATGGAAAACCTTTGGAAGGATGTCTAGCTCATGTGATCATGAACAGGGGAAGTTTTCACAAGATATTTGGAAGAATGCCTTTAAGGAAGCCTATGAAAAGCTCTGTCCTATTCGTGCTGGAGGGCATGAGTGTGGTTGTTTGCCAGTGCTGTCTAGATTGGTCAGTCTATAATTTTTCCCCTGTTCTGTGGCGTCAAAATGTACTTCAGTTGGTCTTTCTCTTTTGGTCTATTACTGTTCCTGATTTCAAAATTCTCTTTCTATAGAATTTAATACCTGAGATTCCTGGTAACAAGTGAATCTTTAATGGGAACTTTTGGGTAAAATATCAGCTTGTGATAATGGCAGTTATGAGGGTTGCCCCTTATATCTGGTCAAATCTCTGATCACCTGAATCAGGGTGGTTGACTTGCAAGGTACTTCACGCTTATGATTTGTGCAAATTGCTTGAGCACAAGGCTCCTGAACTGCAAGTGTTTGTTTTAGATTTAAAATATAAAAAAATCAATTGATCTTTTTCTTCTAATATGTAGTTAAGTTTGTTTTGGCTGATAAAAACTCTTTCTTGCTTCTATCCTGACATCAAAATGCTGTTCTTTTACTAAATCTAGATAATGGAGCAATGCGTGGCAAGATTAGATGTGGCTATGTTCAATGCTATTCTTCGTGAATCTGCTGATGAAATCCCAACTGATCCTGTATCCGATCCAATCAGTGATCCTAAGGTTCTTCCTATTCTCCCTGGAAAATCAAGCTTCGGAGCTGGTGTGCAGCTAAAAACTGCGGTATATTTCTCCTACACCTGAAAACTACAATATCAGGCCATCCACCTATGGCTTCATTTAAGCCTAAAAACATGGGTTCAATTCATGTTTTTCTTTCTGCGGATAACTCTATTTGTTTTGAACGGGGCTCTAATAATGGACCAACAGTATAGCTTTGAGAGGGCTGCCCATAAAATAGTCTACTATGTTAAAGTTGTATTGAATCAGACTCTATATAATGTTGAAAGTGTATTGAATCAAGTTCTGACTTGTGGGCTGCACTTCCCAGATTGGGAACTGGTCTAGATGGCTTACTGACCTATTTGGCATTGATGATGATGACTCGCTTCAAGACAACGATGACCCTGACTTAGCTAATAATGATGGGAGCCAGAATGCATCTTGCAAGTCCTTCCATCTTCTTAATGCACTAAGTGAACTCTTGATGCTTCCTAAGGATATGCTGCTGGGTGCATCCGTCAGGAAAGAGGTTTGGCCATGAACTTGAGATGTTTCTATTTTTCCTCATTCACTTAATTGCCAAAAAGTTTCTTTCATCAGTCATGGTAGTCATGTTGAAACGGATTTTGTTTGTGAAGGTATGCCCTATGTTTAGCGCACCAGTAATCAAGAGGATTTTAAACAATTTTGCCTCAGATGAGTTCTGCCCTGATCCAATTCCAACTGCTATTTTTGAAGCTCTAGATTCAGAGGTTAGATAAGCAAATGTGCACTTATTTTCTTCACAATTCGCTTAATGTCGCGATGAATTTCCTCCTCACTGTACATCATATTTCATGAAATTTGCTTTTTGGTTCACTTAAGCAGTGGCGACCCATCATAATTCCATTCCTTTCTATCATATGGTTGACTCCTTGGTCATTGGCTAGTTTGTAAGCCTGGACTGCCTGGTAGCGATGCTCAGCGTAAAAGACCTGTCCGCGTTAGATATTGAGTTATTTGACATGCAATGTTCCATTAATGAAGTACCAAAATTTCTGCGGAATTTGTTTGTAATCTCTGGATTTTTTTTTCTATTTTCAATTTTCTACAGGATGATCTCGAGGATGATGGAGTGCGTGTCAAAAACCTCCCATGCATTGCGACCCCCACAGTCTATATAACTCCCGCTGTATCTTCCATAGCAAACATAATTGGGGAGGTCGGAAGCGAACCTAAACTGAGAAGTAGATCTTCCGTTCTAAGGAAGGCATACGCCAGCGATGATGAGCTCGATGAATTAAACTCTCCCGTGTCTTTGATATCTAACGATGGTTTCATGTCCAAAGCACATTCTACAAAACCCACTTGGAAGTCGAAAGAAATTCAAAATTCATTTGCTGTCAGATATAAACTCCTTACGGATGTATGGGCGAACAGCGAATAGTCCCGCAGAATCTGCCAAAAGATGCTACTCTCTGCCTGCTACCTTTCCGATATACCACTTGTACAAAAGAAACGGCTATCTCCCCTTAGTTGGGCAGATCAGAAATAACTTGATAACACTATGTAAATTAATAATATTTAGACGATCACTACATACAGCTTAGTACATAATACAGGGTCCTAGAACAGACGTCTGTTAGATTGAGGCCGTTCTATCCTATACGCTTGTTTCTAATTTTGTTTGAAAACAGCTGGTCCCAAAATGGAAATGTGGAATGAAAGTCTCAAATAGATTCGAATATCAGTGGTGGTATGATTTATTTCAAGCGCTGTTGAAATAAGCATAAAGAAAACGATAGCAAGTCCGACCAGAAGTTGAGCCTTTGACCTATTTGAACAAATAGGTAGCAAGCATTTGCATTTTTGATTCCTTAACAATCTAATTCTAAGCAAGCATGACACAATGGAATTGAAAAAATTAAGAACCTGATTGAGGATGCTTGGTGATATGATATCCTCCTTGGCCTCTGCCTGACTGAAAGATGTAGTGGCATCAAGTAGCCCCGGATGCCATGCCATACCTACATCAGAAGATAGCCCCGCAGATTGGATCCGTAAAGTAGTTAAAAAGGGGGCAAAAATACTGGTTCTGCCATTTTGTTGCACTAGAATTTCTGCGTGAAGTCATTCCATCCTGGAACTGGATAGGGAAGTTGCGGGAAAGCAGAGCGGCACAAACCAGTTCAGATCCTTAGAACCCAAAAGCCATCGTCACATAATTATTGGATAGCAATGGAACCCAAAATTAACGAGCTGAAGGGGAAAAGTGCACAGAAACAGAAAAGAAGATAACATGCTCACTTGTAAAATAATAGTGGTCATACAGGGCCGTATTCTGCCTTTCTTTACTTGAGGCAACACATCGAAGGTAAACTCTCCAGGTTGTCAAAAATTGAAAAGAAAAACGAACAAACAAAACAAAACTTCCGGAAATTATTTAAAAATTTTCCGAATAACTCTGGCTCTCATATTCACAAGTACTAGAACGCCGCAAAGGAATATGAATGCTGGGTGGGAAGATTGATGACCTATTTAGCAGTCAACTTCTGTGTAGAACTAGTAGCATTAATGTGCTTAAGATGCAATGCAGCCAGAAGCCCCTGCCAGTTTTCTCCAGGTCCACCGGCTACTTCAAAATTAATAAGTTTCTTCTGCTTACAGTAGTAATCTTCCAACATCTTGCTCTAGAAAAGACAAAAACAAGACAAATAATGAGACGCAATAACTCATAATAGAACCACATGTAATTGATATCCAAGTGTAACTTCTAAAAAGGAGGAAAAGGTTATCGTTACCTGTTCTCCAAGGTTGCCGAAATTTTCTTTACGAGAACTTCCGCAACGGGATTTTAATAGTTCATCCTGCAACTGCTCAGATGAAGCCCCGCAGCAGCTCATTCGAATATACTCCTGAGTTTTCTTCGCCGAGTTTTCTTCCGAGCATTTGAAATTCACAACCAAATCAACATGAACAATTTGATCAAGAATCTCCTGTAATAGATAAGCAACTGATCATTACAAATGCAAGGAGTCAAATTATAGGTATGTCGCTTAACTCCTGGGCATGACATCAGTTACTAGAAAAATAATTCGCGCCGATAGAGAAATAATATATCATGAGTAATTATAACTTCCGAAAGCGGAAAAAATTAAACTTACAGCCTGAATCCTTGTACGAGGAATTCCATCCAGGATGAAGCCAGTTTCACCTGTTGAATATCCTTCTTCAAGCCTTCTCGACAGTAACCCGAAAATTATTTCCTCGGGAACAAGCTTTCCTTCGTTCAGGGCATTCGCTATCTGGAATGGAGAAACTTGCGTAAGATACAGGAGCATGACATGTATTGGAAGGGAAAACTATTAAATCAACAGAGCTGAACCATGCCAGACGAACCTTCAAACTATAAAGCAAAATCAACACCTAAGCTTGCTCGATTTTGACACGAGCTCGAGGTGTTATTGTGTGTGTGTTCCTCTCTTCACAAAATAGGCGCACATAAAAGCATCAGTAACTAAACCTTATGAGAGGATGAAGGCAGAGATAGATAGATAGATAGATAGGTTTGGAAAAGAAATATCCAGGAAATTAGCTCATCCCATTTTTCCTCGCATCAACAGTTAATTGTTCCCTCTCGAACGCTCTTGCCGCAACTTTCCGAACAACGAAAAAAAAAATGCAGCACCACGTATTCTGAATTTACAAGAGACGAAATTACCTGCTGGTAGAGAGCAGAGCGTGGGGTCAGCTCCTGCCGAAGAAGACTGCCCATAGATATATGGGGAACTTCAAGAAGCTTGGAGAGCCTCTCGGCAAACACGTGGCGTTTGGCGCCCGACTCCCCAATCATTACCCACTGAACTCCACGTTCCGGCGCCCAACCCGCCGATTCGGCCATGGCTCTAGGCCTGCACGCCTCGTACTCATCTTCGTCATCATCATAGTCGTACTGAACGGCCAAAGCCGCCGATCCGAGAGCTCGGTTGGAAAGGAATCCAAGGGCTCCGAGCGAGGGTGGTGAAACCAGTCTCCTAAGGCTGATCGCGGCCATTGGCAGCGGCGGCGATTGGCAGTAGGGCTTCTGTCCCGCACGACAAGGGAAAACGAGAAGAGCAAGCTGCGCAAGAGGGAAAGAGGACTTTCGACACGAGGCTCAAGGACGATCTCATGTCACCTAGAAGTTGGGGACATGCCATAAAAAATCGCGTTAATTACGAAAATACTATGAGGATATGCTCATAGTAATGAGGAGAGTTCGAGGGAAAGCGAGCCTCGCGCGATGTGTTGCCAGCTGTCAATTCCTGGTTGGCAGTTATAAAAGCACTCCCACAGAGATGTCGGGGAGCCCAACCGGTCCGAGGACGGAGAAAAATAATAATAAAAAAAAAATCAATAATTAATTGTAAAAAATATTGGGACAATATCACTTAAGGACAACCCTAACAAGTTTATATCAACTAAGGACCTTAAAGATTCTGAAATTCCATGCAGTCCTTGATCATTAATTTATATTAATTTCTTACACAAAATGGCAGAATTGCCCCTAAAATTTATAGTAAAAAAGTCCCCCACATTATCATCAATGCTGGTCGTTAGAGACCCTGCTGGCAATGAGGTTACTAAAGCTCTTACCACTAATAAAGTTATCAACAGCCGATCATCGAAGCTTCAATACTGGTGACACTTTCATTCAAAGATGGTAAAAGTGGTTAAGGAATTTGATTCCATGACTCCTTGGTTAATTTCTTCACTTCTATACTTTTAAAAATTATTAAATTTAAATTTTTTGATTTAATTTAACAATCCAAATTTATTCTAATTTCTTCGCTTCTTTGCAAAAGAGCAAATCCAACCCCAAAACTAGAAGGAGTAGAAGTAATACTACCAGCGATCACGTGCGAAGCTTGTTTGAGGTGTCTAATGGTGTTGGAAGTTTATTACTTAAGGAACTGACACGTGTATCTCGATATATTAACATTTTTAAGGTGGCTCTTGACAAAACTCTGTCACTTATAAAGCAAAGAATCACTAAATTCAATTGGGAGAATGATAGAGAAATCTCAAAATGATTGATTAATTCAACTTAAATATCAAATGCTAAATTTCATGAATTTGAAAGTTCAGTTCTCAATTTTATAACTTTTTTATAATAAATTTGTAATTTATATTTCAAATTTTAACAGAAAAAGAAATTTATTTATTCTTCAAGCATATTAAAATTTTAAAAATAAATTATCTCATTATAATGAAGTGGTTACCAGTCAAGCTTATAAATTCTTAGAGTTTAAAGCTTGGGACATGAGTTAAATTAATTAGTCATTTTGAAACATCTCTATCATTCTCGCAATTCAATTTGTATGACAACAATGTGAAGGACCAATTAATTTTGATTTACTTTTCTTTAAAGAGTTCCCTCATTGTCATCAGTCACTGGAGCTCTAGCGACAATCACTAGATCAGTAAAGGAGATATATTTTTTTTAAGGTAGTCAAGGAAAGGTTTGAACTCACAGCTCTTTAACTACTCAAGATGATTGCCAACCACTAAATTTTAGTTATGTGATGCAAATCTTTGTTCATATTCTTAATTTTATTTTCATCTTTCATGTCAATAGTTGTCAAGTGTTCAATGATTACTTATCATTTTACAAATTATTACTTATTAAATTATTAAAAAATTTGCTAAAAAATTTAATATGCATTAATTTTTATAAATGTTTGCTTGTTTTTATTATAGAAAATTTACATGTTAAAAGCTTGCTTGAATTTTTTATTTTACTATAATTTATTTATCAAATTATTAAAATAAATTTTTAAAACTAATAAGAGAAATGTCATTTCACAAATGGTTACTTGTTAGATTACCAATGAGGTTTGTTCGAAAAATTAATTTGCAATGGATTTTATAAATGTTTAACAGATTTGTTACTAAGAGTTTACATGTTAAAATCTTGTGTAAACTTATTATTTTACTAAAATTTACTTACCAAGTTATGAAGAACAAATTTTAAAGATAGTAATGAAACTTATCATTTTATAAATGATTACTTATTAAATTATCAATGAAAAATTTATAAAAAAATAATATGCACTGGTTTTTAACAAATTCCTATTGTTAATTTAAAGAGTAAACTTTCAACGTGTGAACTTTTGGTAATAAAAACTTATTAAACATTTATAAGATCTAGTGCATATTAAATGTGTTTTAACAAGTCTCAATTGATGATTTAATAAGTAACCTTTTGTGAAATGATAAATCTCATTATAAGTTTTAAAAATTTTTACAAAATAATAAGTTATACAAGTTTTTAACAGGTAATTTTTTTTTCTTGTAATACAAAAAGTAAATATTTATAAGAATCATCACATATTAAAATTTTTTAACAAATTCTCATTAATAATTTAACAAGTAAACATTTGTAAAATGGCAGGTATTACTTGCTTTGAAATTTTTTCTTAATAATTTGACAGGTAAATTTTGTAAAATAATAAGTTCATATAGGCTTTTGATATGTAAACTTTTGATAATAAAAATAAGTAAACATTTATAAAAATTAATGTACATTAAATTATTTAATAAGTCTCATTGTTAATTTAACAATTAACCATTTGTGAATAACAAATAACCATAAAGTTCATAACAAATGTTATCATGAAGAGTGAAACAAAGTTAAAAATATATATAAAGATTTGTGCTGTAAGTTCAAATCCCACAACCACCTTGAAAAAAAAATTAGTTCACCTCCCTTGCCTATTTGATTATTGGCATTGGAACTTCAGAGGTCGATGACAATGGGGGAATTATTTTAAAAAATAAAAGAGAGATAATTTTGTCTTTTCACACTAAATTTTAATAAAAAAATAAGGTATATATCCCATAGAACATACTTATTTACAAATAAGTATTGTAAAATTTAGAAACCGCAGCAAATTTTCTTAAAACCCGAGTGTAATTTGAATTTAAAATATAAAGACAATACTGTCCTCATTAAAAATACTAAAATTACAATTGTAAAATATTAAAATGTAAGTTAAAAATTACTGACATAGCAGTTGTAGATAATTAGTGTTAAACTTTATTGGCAACACATAATTCATTTAATTGTTACATATGTGAAGTTATCATTGTAAAATATTGGAGTAATTATTGTAAATTATTGATGAGGTAGTTGCATATAATTAGTATCAAATTTGTAATATATGATCAATTTAACTATTAAATATGTAAAGCCACAGTTGTAAAGAGTTGAAATAATAGCTATAAATTACTTACAAGGTAGTTGTAAATTATTTGATTGATATAATGTATTTTTTAATAGGGACATTATTATCCTCACACCTCATTTTTAAATTTCATTCAAATCTCAATAAAACTGACTGTAATTTTTAAATATCATATGATTTATTTATAAATAAAGCAGTTTCATAAAGCTTATACATAATTTTTTTTATTTTAACTTTATTTTGGTCTCTCAGTTTTGCAAAGCACTTTGAGAACCCTTTGACATTTTCTCATGAATAAATCGCTATACAAGTTCTTCAATGCAAATTCCCAAAAAAAAAATATTATCTTTCATCTATTTGAATAAAAAAATTATTACAATTTTATTGTCAACCTATTGACACTTGCTAGAATGCAGAAGCAATAATCAAAGCAAATAACATATTCTCCAAAGATTCCAAATCAATATTGGGTTAAATTATCAATTAACCCTTAAATAAAATGAATTCAAATGACTAAAAAAATTAGTAAGATTGAACTTTTATCTTCAAGTTGGATTTGATAGGGAATTGAATTTTATACCAATTGGTTTATCTTATTATGTAAAATTATTTTGATACAATTATAATCATCTTTAATATAACTATAATCATAACATGTTGTGAAGCCTGAATGCTGAGTTGAGTTGAAATTATTTGAATTATAATTGAAATGTATTTTTATTGAAGATTGTCATTAACTCTTGAAGTCTTATGATAAATTTTATGTGATTATAAATATATTTGTTATCTTACTTAAGTTTGTCACATTAAAATGAATCATTATATTTCATAGAGGAAAATGGAGAAAAGAAGCAAAGTAATGTATTAGATTATTGAGATCAATCTCCTGGCCATATAGACCAAATTTGATCTCATTCAATTTCGAGTTAATTAAACTTGGATCAAACAAAATTATTGATTGTTTAACTTAATTCTTTTATAAAAGAAGCTAGACTTCAAGTTAGTTTGAAATCTTTTCCCATCCATCTTTTGTGTAGCACTAATTCCACTTTTTTCTTATTTTTCTCCCTTGGCAACCACATCATAAACCATTTTGCTTGCTAAAATGGCTTTGCTTTGGATATCCAGCATATAATTATATGATCAGCCGACCCAAAAAAGGAAAGAAGATTCTAAACTTGTCATTAGAAGTTACGTTCATTCAATTTAAACAGCGTGTGAACAAGATCTGATCAATTATTTCAATTCAGCTCACTATTAAATATTAATTGACATTCAATACAAATATCATCAATATAAATAAAAAATAAAAAATATAAAAGTTACAATAAGTGATGATATTTATAATTTATTTTAAATTTTTTAAGTAACGCACATGGCTCTGTAGGGCCTAAAATAATTTGCTGTATTAATTTTGAATCGTTTTTGTTTTTTAAATGGAATACACATGAATTAGAGGCAGTCAACATATTGCGCATAAAAAAAGGGGGGGGGGGGGGGAGCACGAAGTTGCGGTGTACTCCGTCGACCAATAAGTACGGTGATGCTGTGATGCACATATGACTTTTTCGTCGCCGAAGCGGCACGTCAATTAGTCTTTATTAGCACACAGTACACAGACCGGCCTTCGTCTTCCAATATCTCAGGAGCTACCCATTAACACTTTCTTTAATTGATTAAATACAGGCCCCTTTTTAATTAAAATAAAATTAAATATTAAATCTGATCGCATCTCCAAAAATTTATCAAAAAATTTATAAAGAATCTTAAAATTATTTAATATTATTTAAAATAATAAATTTATTTATTAATTTATTAATGTTTATTTGTTAAATTTTTTCAAGGTATTTTATTGATATACTCTCAAATTTATACCACCAATAAATACTTATTTCTTTCATTAAAAAAATATAAAATATTTTTTAAGAGATTATATGTTAAAAAATATAAGACATGTTTAATATTTTAATGTATAATTATTGCATTTTTTTAAAAGTACTGCTAATAAATAAATTACTTTATATTCATTTTAGAGTGAAATATCTTATTAAATAGAGATAAGTATGAAAAAATTATGTTAATTTAAAAAAAATTAACTATTATATTAAAAGTGATATTTGATTAATAATACCTTATTTTTTTAATTAATGAAAATTTTATTTCTTATTTTCACACTGCTAAGGTCTAAATTCTAGATTTTCAACCATAAAAAACACGGTGGAAGCCTCTTTGCTCTTTCTTGCCCTACAATTGGCAATTGCCAAGTCCTTTCTGGCACGCTAACAGTGTTATAAAATTATGTCGGCCCACAGTCTAGCACGCGAGGGATGTCAACCAATACATGCAAAATATACCCAATAACATCCATTTTGAATTTCTATGAATGTCACCCTTAATTTAGTATTTGTGATACAAGATCCGGCTTTATTTCTTCAAATTGTCGCTTGTGGTAAAAATTTCAACAATGAAAAACACACATAATAACAAATACAAATAACTACTAGTATAATTTATAAGCAAAGATATCATAATCAATCATGATGTCAAAGTTAACTATTTAATTTGCAGCTATTCAATGCTCCAATTAATTTCTCCCTTCTTATTTATAAAACTCTACCCATTAGTTTTTTTTATCAAATTAAATACTCTCTAATTTTAAATATAAGATTATTAATGAAATATTCATCTAATATGTTTAAAAATACTCTTGCCACTTTCAATTTCAATTTCAATTTCAATCAATAGTTTTTCTATCCTCTCCTATACCAATCAAAAGACACCTTGCGAAGTTATTGTAAAAGTTTTTTGATGTTTAATTATTTCGACCTAATTTTTTTAATCTCATTAACAAGGCTTTATAAAAAGTACAGCTGGAAGTATATTTTCATGATTAAATTAATTCTGATGCATGAATAAAATGTTTTAGCGATGAAAACTGTTATTTAATTTTGAATTCCAAGTCGAGGAGGAGAATCAATAGTTGCTTTATTTTGATCTTACATGTGATATCTTCGAGGTTGATTTCAGCGTTTATTCTTCCTCTTGTGATTTTGTGGGGGAAGAGTCTTCGACGGCTCCTCGTGTCCCATGGATCGCTACAAATGAGTCTTCCTTAATTTCCCTCCAAAATCTTCGAACCTAATTGATTCCTTCTCCATTATTCGCCTTTAATTACGAAAGTGCCATGCAACTTCTTCGTTCACCTTACGAAAGAGAAAAATATATATATACAGACAATTGAATCAACCAGGCCGGTCAGGTCAACTCATTCCACGCACGCGTAATTCATTGATATATATGTATATCTCCTTCCTCTACCTCTTACCATTTCCAAGCCCTTTTGTTGCTTCCTCTAATTCATTTCTTTGATGCCATTGAGATCCATTACCGACGTGTATATATACAGACTCATCAACATTAATTATATATGGATAAGGTGACGCAATATGGGCGTGTGTTTGATCACTTTGACGAGGACGGGGACGGTAGGATATCGGCAAAGGAGCTGCGGCAATGTGTGGAGGCGATAGGTGGGGAGCTGACGGAGGAGGAGGCGGAGGCAGCGACGGAGTATTTGGATGCGGACGGGGATGGGCTGGTGGGGTTTGAGGACTTTGTGAGGTTCGTGGAGGGAGGGGAAGAGGAGGAGAAAGTGAAAGACTTGAGAGAAGCGTTTAAGATGTATGAGATGGATGGGAGTGGATGTATAACTCCGAAGAGTCTGAGCAGCATGCTTAGCAGATTAGGTCAGTCCAGAAGTATCGATGAATGTCAACTCATGATCTCTAGATTCGATCTCAACGGTGATGGTGTCCTCACTTTTGATGAGTTTAAAGTCATGATGTTGTGAAAATTAATTACCTTGTCTTGCTTCATTCATCTCTCTCATTCTTTTCCTCACATTCATTGTATCTTAGAGCTTCCTCAGCATACGTATTGAGATACATATGCATTTACCTTGTCGATGTGGCTGTAAAATGTAATACGGACCTTGCATGACCAAGGAAGATTTGATAATTTTTTCCCTCCATTTGTAATTGAGTGATTATAATTAGATATAATGGATGTTTCTCTTAATTATTGTGTCAATCTATTTGGTGTTTGTTACTATTTACTTTTGCTCATTGCCTAGTATAGACATCCAAGTTAACGTTTTTGGTTGAACTGATAAACCGTTAAACTAATATCTTAACCGATTTAATAAAATATATTGTTTATAATTGATCTAACATGATTCGACTATAATTTTAATCATTAACTTTTAAGTCAATATTTTGATTGAATCAATAATCAATTCAATTTTAATACCTTAATTCATTGTACTGTTAGAGTTCATACATATATACGTGCATATATGGTGGCACCTCATGAGAATATAATTAATTACTACATAATTATTAATTAGCTCATACTTTTCTAGTTTTATTTATGTATTACTCTTAACATATTTCACTAGAATTAAGTAAATCCTCAAAACGCATTAAATCTATCTAAAATTTTAGTAGGTTCTTAGCCTTACCCTTATTAAATATGCACACTTTAACAATATATTCATCTAATTCTATTTATAAGTTATTTCTAATGTGCTTTATTAAAATTAAGAAAAATCTTAAAATTTATTAACTATGTCTTAAAAATTTAATAAGTTATTAATTTTGCCTTTATTAAATATACATACTATAATAATACATTTTCTCTCTCTAACATTCGACAAAAGATAAAAAGAAAAATTTATAATAAAAATTTATTGATGTAATTTATAAATAGCATACACAAAAAATCTTTCCCTACCTCTATAAATAGAACCGAAGAGAGTATTTTCTCTCTCTAATATTTCAGTGAAGAATAAAAAAATTTATAATAAAAAGTTAATGATATAATTTATAAATTATATAAAAAAAAATTTTATTTACTTTATAAATAAAGTCAAAAAGAGTAATAATATAAACGGAATTCATTCGGCGCTCCGTCTGAAAAGTATGAGTGGGCTCGTTCTTGGTTGGTAGGCTAATTTTGACAAAGTAAATGTGCATTTATACATGAACCATCTCATCACTTTGTCAAAAAAGGTCAGGCACACTCACCCACGTGTTGCTCCTTCTTGTTGTGAACCCTCCTTTTTTTTTTTTGGGGGTAAAGGAAAGAGGCTCAAAGGCCCAATACTTCTTATTACAAATTTTGTTGGAAGGCTTGCATGGTCATTTATTACCAAGTTTTTGGAGAGAGCCATGAGTCAAGAGTAAATTTGGATTTTGGTGCCACTTTTGTCGTCATATAAAAGGCATGACAGAGATGATGGAAATGATTTTTTTCATTGGCTAGCTACTCACTCGTCTAAAAGTTTATTTAATTTAATAGATTTAACGGTTTTTCACGAAGAAAATGTTGATGACTTATATTTGAAACGTACCTGTGCAAGGTGACCGGGAGAGCTAGGACAACAAAAGCAGGGTGAAGTCAGAAACAAAAGCTAAACTTAAAAAATTCTATTTAAATAAAGATTTAAATTTTAAAAATTAAATTTTTTTAAAGTAATTAGATTTAAGGGTTTGACATTAACAAGCTCCATAAAAAAAGCTCAAGATTTGGCTGCTCTTCTCGTGTTATTTTATAATCATTTTTTAAAAATTTTCATTGCGTTTGATTGGTTTGAAGAGGAGACTTTATTGCTAAATCTTAAATCTCTAATCACTTGACTTTTTGAACCATGTGATTGCCTTTTGCTTCTTTTTACTCATCTCTCCCTCACCACCTCACGCTCTTAGCCATAGTCAATCAACCACTCAACCTCACGATTCTCGTTCCTCATCTCTCCCTCTTTGTCTCGCATCTTGTCTCTCCAATGGACTAGATGTTGCTCTCCTTCTCGCTTCTTGATTTGGTTTTTGCATTCACACAAAGTCGCAGTATCATCCCCTTCTTAGTCATTGTATTTTGAATTGTTTATGAGAGGGACCAGTTTAATAGTGATCTCTCAGTAGTGTTATTGTTGTTTTAAGTTTGTTCGATTGGTATTTTTAAAATAGGGTGGATTTTGATTTTATGCGAGGATTTAAATTTATATTGATGAAAATTTTAATCTTCATATTAAATTCAAATTTTAAAATCTTTATTAAATTTTATGTAAAATTTTAATCTATTTTATGTCGAATTTAAACTTTTAAATTTTTGTTAAATTAAAATGTTAAATTTTATTTTATCGAAAAGAGGGCTTGCGAGCGTAGTTCTAAGTCCTGCAGGTAGGGGCCAAACCTCATAATGAAGTCAAATTTTGAGTGAGCTCATAAGGTTTGCGCCTATCCTAATTTTCATATCAAAGTGGGAGTCATTATAATTTATGATGAATGTGTGACACATAGTTGTGCTTTAAAAAAAGTTAAAAGTATCATTTTTAAACTGTTCGAACAAGATTTTGCATCAAAGCTGTGCTTATTAGTTACAGCTTATTAGATACTTCTCTAATTTTATTCATAAGATAAAAAAAATTTTATATTAACTCTATTTATAAAATATTTCAATAATTATTTTGTTTGTATTTACTCTTGTACTCCTGTTAAACATTGAGAAAGTTGTTAAATGTTAAAATATTTTTTTTTTCAAAATGTGTATGTTTCATATATGAAAATGTTAAAAATAACTTATAAATAAAATTAAGAATATTATATAATTGGTAAGGCAGCTGAGAATGTTAAAGATAATTTATGAATAAAATATAAAAAACATGATTTTACAATTCAACCATTAAGAGGATCACCTACATAGAATACAACATGGAATTTCCAGAAAGTAGATCAATCAATACAGAAGTAAAATTAACAGAGAGAATTAACAAAAACACTGAAACAGTCAATTAAACATGGAAAACATATCAGCAGTTATACAAATCGATCAAGCTTAAGCATCACTGCACGAGACAGCGTCGTATAAGGGGTGCGGATTCTCTGCGACTGTAACAATGAGCAGAGAAATGCTGCATTCAAATTATTGCCCTTAGATTGATCATAAAGATCCCGCACTGCCACGTCACTCATCACATTGATCCTAAATTGAATGACGTGGCATTATGTTATTGCTAATATCCATCAAAGAATCATCTTTAAGAGCAATGTACTGCATGTTTAGTGTATATATGTCCAACATTAGATTGTAATATTGTCACGGTTAGAGGAGTATATCTTTTCTGCTGCATTCTCTTTACTGTTTTTCTGCTATTTTTTATTTTTCTTGTGTTGGACCCTAAAACAAAAGGGCTTTCCCTAAGGAATAATAATAAAGAAAGAGCAGCAGAGAATACAACTTCACATATCCATAGAATCTCCGGTTACATGACGCCGCAGTATAAATGACAATCAGCCAAAATAGGTGCCTCTGAAACTCTCGAAAGAAAGAGTTAGAAGAAAACTGCTTTGTCGGTCTTATTTTGACAAGTCTCGGTATAATTACATATGCAACAGAACCACATTTAATTAAGAGGGACAAGAGATTAGGGACCAAAGATAATGAATTTAATTTCCAGAACGGAAGGTAGGATCATGGTTTTGCCACTGCTTTCACCAGAGGCTTGCAAGAGCTTTCAGACATCAACATGCGTTCTTCTTCTGGAAGTTCCTCCACCAATCTGGACAGCTTCTCCACAACTTCCCCTGCAACCGGCCTCATACTATAATCTTCCTCTACACAAGCTCTAGCAATATTTGCCACTGTTCTTGCTGCATCGAATGAATAATTCTCACCTACTGCCTTGTCCATCCACCCCCTCAGTTCTTCCTCATTTTCTGACTTCAGAACAGACTTTATTTTATCGGTGAGCCAAACGCTTCCTTCCCCTTTCTCATTGGGCCTGCTTATAGGTGTCTGACCAGACAAAACTTCCAGCAAAACCACTCCATAAGCAAAAATATCAGTACTTGGAGAAATTAAGCCTTGGTGTACATATTCTGGTGCCAAATAACCAAGATTCCAGGATGCAGGGTTGGTTGAGTAGAACATTGGATCCTCTGTTTCGTTCTCGACACAGCCCGCCATCCCGAAGTTCCCAATCTTGGCACTGAATTCTTCGTCCAGAAAGATGTTCCTGCTCTTTATGTTTCTGTGGACATAGCTTGGGTTCATGACGTGGTGCATATATTGCAGGGCCATGGCCACGTCAAGGCAGATCCTGAGCCTCTGACTCCACGTGAGGAAGCAATTGCAGGAAGATATGAACTCGTTCTTGATGGCCAACCCACCATGAAGCCAGTCTTTCAAAGACCCGTTTTTTGCATGCTCGAAAACCAGATATGACTCGGGACCTTCTGTTGAACACGTTCCGAGCATCCTAAGAATGTTAGGGTGATGGTGGATTGTGTTATGGAAGAGCCCGAGATCGATTTTTAAAACCGTTTCTGTATGTGCTCGTTTGATTGCCATGTTTTTCCCTTCCAGACGGCCGTGAAATACAGATCCCTCTATGAGATTGCTTGAACTGAAATCCTCCGTTGCTTTTTTTAGGTCTTCAAGGGTGAATGTCTCCAGCAGCATCTTACGAGGAGCTGTGTCGATTATTTTCCCATACTGGGATCCTTCGAACGAAACTTTCTTCTTGTCGCTGGTGGTTCTTGCGCTTACATTAAGATGTTGCAGCTCCAAATTGCTTCTTTTGGATGATTTCTCTTTCTTCCCGTTCTTCAATCTAATCACAACTAAAGCTGCTAGAAAAGCAAACAAAACTCCAACAGCGACGCCAGCTAGCCCAATGTACAATTCAGCCTTCCACGTTCTGGGCTTCTTGTGTGATGGATTAATCACTGGTATACTGCTTGATCGATTACCCGAATTGGGTTCCCTGGGTTTAGCCAGAGGACCAAGAACAGGCTTGCCATTGAGTGGGATCAGAAGAGAGGTAAAGGGCGTGAGCTTAGCAGGTTTGAAATCTTTGGAGAATATGTTATTTGCTTTCATTATTGCTTCTGCACTTGTATTAAACTTTGATGCCAAGTTAAGAACTGTGTCGCCTTCTCTCACTGGGTAAGAAATCAGAAGCTTCGGCTCTGGAGAAACTTTAGATGATAAGGGACATGCACATCTCAGAGGGATCAGCAATCTGGTATTATCATCGAGATCCCAAGGTGACACACCTGGATTCTTGTTACTAATAGCCATGCAGGTTGTCAAGCCTTCCAGCGACTGAGCAATCCCATAAAAGCTCTCACCTTTCATGGTAGTTTTGGTTATTTCAGCGCCAAAGAAGCCGCCTTTGCATTTGCAGTCTATTGGTATTAGTAGAGGTTGTTCATGAAGAAGAAATTCTGTTTCTGCAGAAAACCCATTTGCATCCGCAACCACATAGCGATTGATTCCCAGGTAAAAGCTCAAGTTGAAGAGAGATGAGTAGTATGAACTGGTGAAGAAAACTGCAAATGTTCCACATTGTGATTCATTCACACTGCAACGGTAGCCAGAGGCATCTGGGGATGTTGTGTTGCAGCTGACGAGCTCTTGTCCGAGCGACAAAACAGAGAAGCAGAAGAACAAAAAGGCCCAAGCTCTCAGGTGGAGAAGCCTAGTGATCATTTCTGCTATCACTCAGCCCTAACATGGAATGGCCAATAAAATATAAGAGGCTTCCTCTCTCTCTCAATCACCGCTCTTGGATCTATACAAAAGCTAGGTAACAGCATCGCAGATTTCTTTCCCCCTTCAAACCCGTACGGAGACAGTGTCCTTGAGGATCACAAAGTTTAATTTGACTATGATTCCATCTTCAACAGATGTGAGGCCATGTATCCCAAATCCCTAGCTTCACTTGTCAGTGGTTATAGGCAGCAAACACTCTTAACTACTTTAGAGGCTCCTCGGGCTCCAAACCCGCCTTTATATGCATCTACCTGTACATGTGATGTGAGGGCATCGTTGGCTTGACAAATGGATTTAAATTCAATAAGAGGCGAATTCAGTAAAAGGCAGTGAGAGTCTATTCCAATAATCTATTTGTAACTCATTTTATCTCAGCTGCCCGTTTTTTCATTATATTAAACATCCGGGAATCATCTAAGGAAATACATAGTTGATTTTTTTTTTTGGAGTTTTATAGTCTTGGATTGATTCATTTAATAAGGGGTGCACGCAGACCATCAAGAATATTTAAAGCTGCTTAGGTTTTTAAAGCAATTCACGAGTGACATTCTTTATTTCTTGGTTAGTGAGTGAGATGGGGATCAGAGGACCTACAGGGAAGACAGGACGAGAGAGTTGATTTAATTGTCCGAGCATGTAGCTTGTGACAGACAAGTATATTTGTACAAAGCGAAAATATTCTATAATGCTCCGGATTGGAGCTAGAGGAAGACGTGGTCCCTCATGGTCTTTATAAACTATTTGATATTAACGCAGGGATCCCATGACACTGCATTTGACTGATTTCAGCTTTTTTTTTTTTTTGCAAAAAAAAAACCTAATTATGACTGTAAATTAATCTTGATGAAGCATTATTAGGTTTACAATCTCCAGATATCTTTAAAACGGCATTGTTCTGCACTTGCTTAGATGGCTGTCTAACTTATCCATACTAATTTTAGGATAACTATTTGAGAAATAAACTTTCACGGTTTGGCATTGAAGATAAGAATCTTCATTATTTTCATCCTCCGATCGAGTGTGCAAATTAATTGCGTTTCGCATCAACGCAAAAGAAGCCTACAAGGAAAGCACTAGCAAAGGATCCAAGTACAAGCAACTTTACATATAAAAGCAACAGATCTGGCTTGAATTTCCAGGGAAGAAAGGTGAATGCAGCAGACAAGAGAATATAATGTGTGAAAAAACAGTGTAAACAGAAATGATGAAGGGGTAGAAAGTATGGGTTCCAAAAGCAGACAAATAGAAAAAACGAACAGTAGTACAGTGCCTGTATATGCGTTAATGCTACGCCATGGAAGTAAGGGCATGGATGATGGCAGGTCACATTTCAACATTTTTGATCTTTGAAAAGAGACAACCCACACCGCCCATGTCAACCCCTAAAACCTTATCTGTGTAAGCGTATCGCTCGCTCGCTCATCTTTTTCATTTCATGCATCATTGTTAATGCTAGATGTCACTATAGCTGTACATAAAAACAAAACTTCCTTTCATTCATTGGAATTGAGGTTACATGAACGGTGATGGTTCATCTTCTTCTCATATGTTTTAGTTCTTTCATTGGGATTGAGATATACTACTACTCATGGTGATACGTCCATAAAATGATGTGTAGTGGGTATTGGGATTTTTCTTTCTCAAGAATGAATTAGGTTAAAGACATTGAACAGGTGAAGAAGTTGATGAGTTGGCATCTGAACCAATACATTGAGATTTATGAATCAGAAATTTCATTGTGACTGGTGCTACAAGATTGCTGTATCAACACTCGGCGGAGATCTCGTGGATTACTTAGCCCAGATCCACAGATCCATGATTTTTGTAACTTTATGTCTGCATGCTTCATACTTGGATTCAGTGAAGTCAGAAGTAGAGGAGATAATTGAGATTTTACGTGTCTTTCCTTTTATTCTCTTTAATAACAAGAAGCACACGGGAAAGAAAAGTTCTGGGTTTTGAGTAGTAAATCAGATGATGAGGGGCAAGCTTTTATCAGAAGAAAACATTTACCAAGTGGCTGTCATCATATCGATTTCAGACAGTTCAGTGGAAGTCCATTGTGTCACTCATAGCACAGGTACCCCTAGTGCCCTCTCTCTTTCTCTGTCTCATCAAAACTTTTTTTATAACATACTTCATAATAAATTTAAAAATAATATTTTGTTATTTTTTTTCATAAAAAAAAATTTTAAAAATATTTTTTAAATATTATCTATAAAGATAAACTATAATTTATAAATGAGATCAAATGAATTTTTTAAAATATAATTTATAAATAAAATTAAAAAAAATTATTATTAATATTACCTCAACATCGCTAATTGCAATAAAGTTAAATGACGATGAAGATTATGGTCATCATTATATTCGCTGAAAGTAGCGATTATTGTCTCTTTTCGTTTGCTCATTAACAGCAGGCACTCGTTGCACCGAAAAGCAGCTCAGAAAACCCGTACACTGCATGTTAAAAGGAGAATAAAATGGAACTACTCTATTATCAAGACACAGTTGGAATCAGAGAGCTGATAGTACTTGAAAATTTAAACCTCGTTTTTCTTAGCATTTTATTCTATCATTTGTCGGACATGAAGGTAAATGCAGTGAATGAAAGTACCATTAAAAAAATTAATTAAAATTAGCATGAATAGTAAGAGTTTTTATTACTTAAATAAATAGTTGAGAGTTTGAATCTCAACATTTGAATATATAACAATTGATTGAAAGGTCTGCCATTCGCTCTCAATATTTTAAAACAGATAATTTCTATTTCTACTGTCAGTAAAATGTTGAAATTTACTCCTTGAACTAAAAAAAAAACACACAATTAAAGAAAGTTTAGTAATTCCACACCAGAATTGAATATGCCAATCATTTTTTCTTTGGATGGAGTCCAGAGCGACTTCTATGCAAAAGCAACTTTTTGAGCTGAAAGCGTGTTTTTCAATATAGGATCCAAGTAATGGTGGCGAAGGTAAGGCGTGTCCATGCACGTGAGAACACGTGCTGGCCGCTGTTCTAAAATTAAGGTAATATTGTGACTTGATCAGTCAGGCCTTGCCCCATTTCCGAGACACTTTCCAAATTCCCTGTTTCTAAAAAGTGAAAAGGCACCACCATATATAATGGTTCAAGAGAGAATCGACTGGGGGCGAATGTATAAAGTGGCTGGCATTCGGTTAATGAGAATGATTTGCCAAAATGGTCGAGAGGGAGAGAGAGAGAGAGAGAGAGAGAGAATGATTTGCCACAAAAATTAACACAACGAAAAAATATAGACCACTCAAGAGATTCGTGTGCGCTAGTGTGAATGTGCCATTGCGTGCTATTCAGACAAGTGGTGCTGGGACAGTAGAAACAGATTCAAACTAGAAATTGACATTTTCAAGGAAAATTAATCAAACTTAAATTATTTACTCCGGTTTGAGATAGATGGTCTTGGTCACAATATTTGTCAAATCCAATTACAGCCAAGGAGTCACTCGCCGTGAAATTGTAAAATACGCCTTTGTGCACTTCTTAAGGCGTACAGTGGATGTCGAAACACAAACAAACCACTTCTCGCTTATTTAACTGGTCAAAATGTTAGCAAATTAAACAGTTTGAAAATAAACTCTAGCGAAGCTGTGTAGTGGTAACTCAACTAGTAATCAAGAATCTTTCCTATGTCTTGTCAGCTTGTTTGCTGGGCTTTCTCGACGCTCTTCCTCATCAAGGATATTACTTCAGCCGGCTTAGGGGCTCCAAATACAGAGCTTCCTGCGACAATGCAGTTTGCTCCAGCAGATGCAGCTGTTCCAATGGTTGAGGGGCCTAGTCCACCATCAACCTGCAATCGAAAATGAACATGTTCAGAACTCCAGATCCCCGCAATGATATACCACTTGTATGCATGAACTTGCAGACAGAAAAGATCACATGTTCACGAGCACAAGAACTGACACCATTGAAGGATACATAAAGGAAAATATCGTGGGAAACTTCCAAGGACAGGGTAAAGCTAATTATGCAAATAGAGTACAGGGAACGAAAGGAACCCAAGAGTAAGAGGTCAACAGTGCTTCCAAAGTCATAAAAGAACACGTGAGACATAAAGCATAAAATGTGAGAGATGAAACCAGTTCAAGAATGAAATGAATTGAGCCAAAAAAAAAAAAGAATAATCTGATATAAATCAATTTGATGGAAAATCAGAAACAGCCAAGAAATTAACAGGCTTAAATACCTCAATATTAAGTGATGGATACTTCTGCCTTAGCATCCGTACCTAGTTTTAAAAATGAAACAATTAGCCAAAAAGCAGTCGCAAATTAAATAATCAAGAGTTGTCAGTCGTCATACCAAAAAAAAAAAAAAACAGTTGTCAGCCAAAACTAATTCAACACTGAGTGAAAAAGAGTAATGAAACCTTATTCATCATCTCAGGCATAAATTTCTGTCCTCCAAATCCAGGTTCCACAGTCATCACAAGGACCAATTCTACAGGATTTTCTGCTTCAACCTGTGAACTGAATATAGATAAATAAAGCAAGAACAAGAAGCATCCTATTAAGACTAAAATCTTATAGCCACACATTGAATCTACCCAACTTCAGGCTATGCACTACGTACAAGACTCAGGACACTGTCAAATCATACTTTCTTCCATAAACATAAAATCCAGTAGTGTGTGTGTGTGTGTGACCAAATGAGAACTTAAAGGAAGGAAATCATACCAGAGGATAAATCTCTTCAACTGGTGTGCCAGGCTTTAATGCTACACCAGGTGTCATGCCCCCTGATTTTATTCTCTGGACAAGTTCTGACCAATTATCTGTCCAAAATAACAGCTTTTGAACATACAGAAAAGAAAATAACATAATAAATGTGGCCTGTGGAAAACAGAACGACAAGAAAATAAAGAACTTTAATGAGTAGCAACCTTTAGATGTCTCTATATGAAACGTAAAACCAGAAGCACCAGCCTTTCTCAAAGGTTCAACATAGTCAAGAGGATTTGTGACCATCAGGTGGCAGTCCAGATATGCCCTGTATCAGTTTGAAGCAAATTAAAAGACATTGTGTCTTCTTAACAATGGGTAAAATGTCCAATACAGTAAACTTTGATGAACAAAGAAGCAATGATACTGCTCTGTGTGCTTTCGTAAGCTTTCAATGACTGGAGCACCAATGGTTAGATTAGGGACAAAGTGCCTGCAAGTGAGAGAAGAAGAGAGGGGAAAGCTCGAAGAGTCAAATTAACTAAAATGAAGGAAAACTTAATTAACATTAAGCTCATGACATGCTACTCAGTCATCCTTAGTTACCAAAAGAAGTTGATAATAGGTTTAGGCTTGGTCTGAATACTTGAATAAAAAAAAAGTAGTTTCCATTAGCATAAAACTAATACAAACCATCACTCAGAATATAAACACAAACTAAGTGTTAAAATTCTGAGTGATGTGCATGATAAAAGTACTACAATTGCAGTTATTTAAAAAAAAAAAACAGCAATTGTAAATCTTTACAAATGCCTAAAATCCCTATTGTAAAGTGAATCTATTGACTATATAGCGTGAATTCTTATTTTGAACGATAACTATTGAGTGGCTGAGTGCACTGTCAAAGCTAGAAACCACACATAAGAAACAAATTGACATAAGAAAATGCTAGAATCCACCAAAAATTGGACTGTCATCAAGGGGACATTTCCTTTTATTCATTTCATTCCTTTTAAAGAAAAGTTTGATAGATAGAAAATTTAAGACCTCCCTCATCTGAATTTTGCTGTGACGTCAACGGCAAGCAGGTGCAAATGCACATACATATTAATATATATTACCACTTCTTACCCAACAAAAAGTGAACTATAATCAGGCAAAATAAGCACACCTGATAGTTATTACAAGACGCTGGATTCAACAAGAACAAAAAGAAAAGCAATGTTTTCTACTCAGAGCATATATATAACATAACAGTGAAAGGGAAGAAAATGTTACAGTCAAGAATTGCATGAACAGGAATACAACTTCAAATAAAGTTTAGGTGGGTGTAATGGCAATTTCAAGACAATGATAATGTGGTGTGAGCAAACACGGACACCTACCCGTCCTGCAAATGAACCAAAATGGGAAAAGGGAAATATCAGGAATCATGATCACCAATAAAATATAAAATATGCAAACATATGGGTATTTATTCCATAACAGAACACGCACACAGTTATTGACACTTTGTTAATTGAACCATTGTGTCTACCATAAGGACAGCAGAGTTGCTGCCAACCAGTTTATGAGCCATATTAGAAGTTTAGCCCGCGCAGGCTCCTCATTAAAAAATTTTTTCCATGCAGCATTTTTTGTTGTAATAGGTTCAGGCCATCAGCAAATTGTTTTTCTTGTCTACATATTACCACCCATCCATGGTAAATAATACAGCAATCGCAGCATCGACACTATAAGCCGAAGAATACAAGATATTAATAAAGTAAAAAATTTCTATTTCTTCGAATAAGTTTCGGACACAGAGCCTGATTTGCAACACGCAACAAATTCTAGCTCTTGGATGAACTACTAAGCTACGCGAAAATAAACCAGAACATGGAGTCAAAATTCAAATGAATAAGGAAGCGGTTGAAACTCAGAAAGCATACCATAATATCCATGTGGAGCCAATCGGCGCCATCGTTGAGCATGCGATGAGCCTCGGAAGCTAAATTAGCGAAGTCCGATGATAGCATGGAGGGTGCAATTTTTGGCGTCACTCCCATGATTGCACTTCTCTTAGATTTCGTAATTTCCACGAGTTCTGGGTTGAAGATCAGACACACCGCGATAAACCAGCGTTAGGTGGGTCGCTTGGTTCTGCGGGTTGGTGAAATGGGCGAGCCACACCCAACACAAGAAGCTTCCAACTTGCGTACCGATGGCCTGTACGGCTGGACCCCTGGCTGGACAGGTTTGACCACTGACTAGGTCTCAAAGCTCGATTCCGAGGCCCTGCTCAGAGGGGCCGAATGAATAAGGTGGCATTTGCTGGTCACTCCTGCCAGGGTGATAGCTCGGCCCAGAAAGTAGGAGGTCACCCTTTCTTTTCTCTCATTTTCTGTCATTTTCTCAACATTTATCATTGATTTAATTTTATTAAATAAATTTATTTTAATTACAAATTTAATGAAGGGTGAGAATTGAGAAAATGAGGGAAAGTGAGAGAACAGAAAGGGAGAGACCATCCTCCCCAACAAGCATGGGTTGAGCGTGTCTTCACTTTTTTATCTATGCATTTTCTCAAAAGAACACCATCTAGATAAAATAAAAAAGGCCAAAGGTCTTATATTTTCCTTCCAAGTGCAGGAACTTGGTTGTTTTCTCCTCTAGAACAAAGTTGACATTCTCACACAACAAGAAAGGAATTCTAACCGGGGAAGGATTTTGATTGTAATTTAATATGATTTCATCTTTCTTCCTTGTATTGACCATTTGCATCCCCACTATTAAAAATAAAACTTGCCATAGTTGTTGTTCTCTCCCCCCCCCCCATGCATGGATCATTTTCCTCCCTTGTATTTATTTTGAAATTTATTTTAAAACACCTCGTTGATCCCCCATGAACTTGTGCTACATGCAAATTTTACAATATGGCCCTTCTGTATAAAATATACTAGTGCAAGTGCAATATGGCCCCCCATACTAAATATGCTAGTGCCATTGTAATGTGCCCTTCGGTGTCAAATATGCTAGTGCAAGGTTAATATAGTCCCCCTAGGTTAACTATGCCAATACAAGCACAACATGGTCTATTTATGTCAAATACACCAATAACAATGTAATATGATTCACCTCAGTTAAGTCAGATTTCATTAACAGCATTGATGATGGTGAGAGTATTATATTTCAAATTCTCAACTAAGTTAGGTGTCACTCAAAACATATTTTATGATATCATCATTTCATTTTTTGTTTGTAAGATCTATTGAACAATAATGTGAAATCACTTGAAGTAATGGAATTTAGTCAAGTATTTAGAAGAAGGTAAATCATTATCTAAATATATTGAAACTTCTACTATAATAGAATTACATTACATTATCTAAATATGAATTGTTACAATGTTACAGATATAAATCCAAATGTGAATGGAAATCCTCTGCTATGGAGTTTTCATTTAAGCTTTAGTTTCTTGCTTTGTTCTCCATTTTGTTCTTAACAATTTATACTCGTACGCTGGTTCTCTTTTTTGTCATGCTATTGGTGTTTGTTATTTCATTATAATGCTACTTAGGCACATTCTTTATACTTGTAAGCTTGCTTCTTTTCATTTTGCAAAGCCTAAACACACTTTTGCACCTGTGATCTGCACAATTATAATATGTAACACAGAGTATTTTATTAGGTTTAGTGTGATTTACATTATTTTTAAAAGTTAACTGATTTTATAAACATATATCAGAAGAGCCAGGGCCTAAACGGGCCAACCCTATAAAGCTCGATTATACCTCAATATATTCTTTTATTTTTTAATTTAAAAATCTAAAAAAATATTTAAAATCTAAAAAAATATTATACATGACATTAAATCTATAAAAACAAATTTAAATCTAATAAAAAATAACATCACAAAATAAACCATTTAATTGAGAGGCTTTGACTTGTCACTAAAGAGTAGCTTGTCAAAAGAATTGTCGCTGCATAAGGAAGAAAGTAAATCTACAACACAATCACTAAATGATGGGAATGTTGAAATTGCCTCTTTTATTGATGATGAGAAAAATGATTTTTCTTCAAATACCTCACAGGTTGTCAAATCCACTTTCCAAACTACAAGAGGATTGTCACCTCTAAGTGATAAAGTACTCTAATTCAATAGCTTATAATCCTATTTTATGCAAATTGATCCAAATCATTCTCTTTGTTTCAATATTAATACATATACCATTCATTAATGTGTTTTTAGTTTAGTCGCTCACTGCAATTTTAAAACTAAATGTTACATGCTCAATATATGAATCAATGTATGTATAGAGCACGTCATGCCAAAATAGAAGTCTTGTATAGCATGATGATTTTGTGGGGAAATGTCAAAATTCACATAAACATATAGAGCATCTTTATTGAAAAAAAATAGGAAATATAAAAATGCCTAAAGAGAAGAATAATTGATTTCTAACTTGAAAGCATTCCAAATTAGCTCGTGAATTGGAACTTCAACAAAATAATAGTCAAAAGTTGTTTTATTTTTTTCTGCAGCGGTGCCTTCTATACCTGTACAAAGCTTTAGTAATAGATATATAGAATGCCAAGTTTTCTTACGTTATGTCTACAAACACTACCAGTAGTATAGTTAGTACCTCAACCATATAGAGTCTCACATATTTCAATTAAACCATAAATTTTAAAGCTACTTAGCCAATAAAATCATAATGATCTATCAATGAGAAATTTAAAACATATCAAAAACCTATTTAATAATTTCCATGGTTGATTTTCCCACATTTTGCACAAAACAAGCATGTTATGCTCATAAATAGTCTATCAACTTCTGGTGAGTAGCAGCTATAGAAAGCAATCATGTGTGTGAAATAATATAAAGAAAAGAAAAAAGCGCTTGATGATAATGCTATTTTTCCCCCTCAAAGCCACCAAAAGCAAAACTCAAGACACAAACCACCGCATCCCATTAACTAAATTTGAATAAGAAAAAACATTCTTAAAACTCACACACGTCTTCTAAACACACCAAAGAAAACAAACAAATCAACATTTTTCTTAACTTGAAACACTTACTTTTGAGCTCATCAAGCTAGCAACTGATACTACCAGAAAAGGACCTAGTAAGCCTATCATCTAGTACTCCATGCCTTGTTGCCCTTTCAACACATAATTCTCAAGCTATGGCAACCAATCTTGTATGGAGACTAGAGTTTACTCCTTACTTCGATGATTAAGCGTGCTAGCATTGAATTGGTAAGGAAGGAGGAGAGCAGTGTTGAGAAGGAAAGGGAGAGGGCTAAGTTGGAGTATGAAGGGTGATAAAAATGTAAGCAGTTATGGTTGCAACCAAAAATAAATGATGGGGGTTTCACCATTAATTAAAATGGTGTTTTTATAATACAAAAAAAGTGGAGGAGAAATACACAAAAGAAAGTAAAAACACCCCTTATTCCCAAAAAAAGGGGCACAAATAAATAAAAAGCATGCTTGATTATCTTTTCTCCCCCCCAATTTGTTTTCCATTTTGTAAAATAAGAAATGCATATATAAGTGTTTTGCGTTTAAAACTAAAATGTGCAGGGGCGCGAGAGAACGAGCTTTTGAGAATAGAAAAAGTGATATTGAATGGTAACTACAGTGCCCAGAATATTATTAGCTTTAAATAGACAAGGTGCACAACCCTAGACACGTGTATACAAAGACAATATCTATACAAAAGAATAACCTAGAGGGCTTCACAAATAATACATGAAATCTAGAGTGGTTATCTAATGGGCTCTGCACACTTAGCTATATTGGGCTTAAATAACTTGGGCTTATGCTGTACACGTATTGCCTTTATTTCGACATTCCCCCTCAAACGAGAGGTAGGAAATTTCAAGAGACCAAATTTGTCACAGAATTCTCAAAACTTAGTGTGAGATAATGCTTTAGTAAAGACATTGACAACTTACTTAGATGAAGGAATGTATCGTACCACCAATTGCTTCCCCAGCACTTGATCTCTCATAAAGTGAATATCTAGTTCAATGTGCTTTGATCAAGTATGAAGAACAGGGTTGGAACCCACAGTAGGAGCACTAATGTTGTCACACCACGTGACCGAAATTTGCTGAAGAGGAAGACCAATTTTTGTGACTAATGACTAAAGCCACACGATTCTTACAGCAAGATCAGCAAGAGCCTAATATTTAAACTCGACGCTTGACCTGGATATGACTCTCTGTTTCTTCATTGACCAGGAGACTAGTGAATCACCAAGGTATACACAATGTTTGCCCATCGAGTGTCAATCATCAAGACACACGGCCTAATCTGCATCGGAGAAGCCTTAGAGAGTGAAGTGTTTGCTAGGTTTTATGTAAAGAGATAGATTTGATGTTTCTTTAAGGTACCTAAGTACTCTCTTTATAGCTTGCCAGTATGTATTTATAGGTGAGCTTAGAAATTGGCTCAACTTGTTTACTGAATACATGATATCTGGATGTGTGTTAACTAGGTATTGTAGAGTACGAATTATTCTTCTATAGGGAGTGAGGTCTTGTAAGAAAATACTATCATTTTTTGAATAATGCTTATTAACCACCATAGGTATAGGTACAATTGAACAATTTTGCATCCCTATTTTCCTTAGTAAATCCTGAATGTATCTCTCTTGTTTGAGATATAAACCCATCCAAGATCTTTCAAGGCAAAGAGTGAGTTTAAGTGCTTAATGAACACTTTTAGAACTATTAGAGAATTTTTAGTTACTATGATATCATCTACATATATTAATATAAATAGTATGATACCTCATTTCTTGAAGAAGAAGATAAAGGTACTGTCACATTTTGAGCTAACAAAACCCCAAGCTAAGAGAGTAGACCAGAAGCATTCAAACCAAGCTCTTAGCACTTGTTTGAGACCATATAGTGCCTTTTTCAATAGACACACATGATTAGGATGTTTAGGATGAACAAATCTTTCTGGTTACCTCATAAATACTTGTTCTTGTAAATAACCATCCAGGAATGCATTGTTTATGTCAATTTGTTATATCAACCAACCAAAAGTGATTGCTGTTACAAGAATAAAACACATAGTGGGTACCTTTAGTACATGACTAAATATTTCATCATGGTCTACTTTAGGACTTTATTGAAAGCCTTTAGCAACTAGTTGTGCCTTCCTCTTCTGTAATGTTCCATCTGTAGTAAATTTATTTTTATAAGTCTATTTGTAGTCAACAACATTTCATTGTCCTTCAAAGGGAACTGAGATCCAGGTGCCATTTTTCATTAGTGCGTTATATTCTTCCAGC